TAATGAATTCATATTTAGAATAAGTATATAAAATAAACATATATTATACTGACAAAAACGTATAAAAATACAATTGAATGACATAACAACATATATAGAGAGCGCTTACCACGTTCACGTAGAATTCATAATAAATACATCAAAGTAGGCAATACAGTAAATAGAATAACTTAATAAACAATTGTAGGAATAATCACTACAATTAAAACTCAAATCGGCATAAACTGACCAGTTACTTACTCTATCGACAACCTGTACTTTGATCAATTAGAGAACCATAGATTAACTAAATTTTCTAGTTATTTATCAGTTTAGCTTCAATTTTACCATAATAGGAAAAAGAGATTAGAGATTCTTATACTAGGTCGATATTCAGAACATCGCCTATTTCACTACGCTTTCTGACAGTTTTCGGTTCTTTAATTTCTTAAATTTTCATGTTAAGATTGAAATGTACGTCAAACTAGTGTGAAAATACGTGAAAAATGGCCAAAATGACAAAAAATCTTGCTAGGGCGTTGGGTTGGGGTTCTGGCATAGTGGCGGTGTCATGCTCTGCCACCGGGTCCTTCTTCGTTGGCGACTCCTCCTCTTAGTTAAGCCGTTTTTGGCCGGTTCTCAGTAAAAACTTATTTAATTCATGATTAGGAGGTATTTATGTAAGAAAAAGGGGAAAAATCAAGGCTGCCTGGCATTTTTCGGTCTTCGGTGCAACGGCTCCGCCGGGCTCTACCATTTTTTCCTTGCGATTCGTGACTTTTTTCGGTTACCCTGCATCAGAAACAAGTTATACGGCTAAAGGGTAGGACAAACATAATGAACGGAAAGGGGATACACCTTACCAGAGCATTTTTCAGTCTCTAGTGCGATAGCTCAGCCGAGCTCCATCGTTTCTTCCTCGCGTGTTGCGGTTATTTTCGGTTAATCTGCATAAAAAACGTATTAGGCAGTTAAAGGGCAGAGAAGCGGAAAGAATGGAAAGAAAAATCGCATCCACCGGTGCGTTTTGGGTCTCTAGTGCGGCAACACCAGTGGCTGGACTTCCCCTCTAGCTGACCTTATTTTTCTTCTCCGGCGGTTAAATACTCCCCTTTTATTGATCTGACCGTTCATTTGGGTCTGTGTAGAGCCTCCTCAGCCGTCCGATCACGCTTATTTGAGAAATAGATATAGACCGTTTGATCTAAGATGTGTGGGTCGTCCAATCAAACTTATCCAGAAAGTCAATCCAGGCTGTTCATGCGCACGGGAGTGAGCACAGGCCGTTAGATTGCCCAGGCATGCGGATCGCACGTATGGCTCCTGCATGGAGCTCGTGCCAGCGTGTCCGCTATGCGGCGCATTCTGACTCACTGCGCTATTGACGTGACCGTCCTACGTGGCCGTAATTCTCTTTTGTACGATTTGACCCATATTTTTAAATTTTTCTTTCAAATATACCATCTTCTTATTTACAGTTTTGGCATTGACTTCTGAAAATTATTTAAAAAATATTCAAAATATTTAATATAGTCAGTTATGACCGAATAAATACTATTTTTTTGTAAATTATCAAATAATCTATATAAATTATAGGATTTCAGGTAGACATGCTGTCAAAGTGATTTTTCTAAAAGTATACTAACAAAGTTTATTAGTATATTTAAATGTTTATTAAATATGTTATTTATAATTCCTATTTACATATTAAAAGTAAGTAATAACTACACTCAAGCATAGGATATTCACACCCAAAAGAAGTTCAAATTTACCAATTAAAAAAAAAAATATATATATATATATATATATATAGAATTTAATATTTGCAACTAAATTGACACATTTTATGACAATTGACCGACCAAAAAGTCCTAATTAGATGGTAGTGAGTAGGTGATATTTCAATTGGCTGGCTCCCAACTCACTTCTAAATTTCTTATAATATTTTTATATTAATTACTAAAGTAATTTTTATAATTTACATAGCATAAATTATATTAAATTAATACCAATTAATTTACTGGTTTAGAGGATAAATTCTTATAAATTAATAAATTATACCCTTCAATTTTAATTTAAAATAATTAAATAATATAAATACAAATTAAATAGATTGGTTATATAAAATAATTTTTTTTTTGTTATAAAATTAGATAATTGTTGAAGTATATGATGTATCTGATATATGAATAATATTATGAAAAATAAAAAAAAAATTAAAGTAATTAAATTATGTTTAAATATTATAGATAATAATTTAAAAAACAATTTCGAGAAATTAATTAAATTACTTAAAATTTAAATTAATAATAATATTAAATTAATTTTTAAGGTTTTCATTTTTAAAAACAAATTTAATAATTTATTTTAAATTATAGTAAGAAAAATGTACATGAGTCGGACAGTGTTGGGCTTTTAGTTTACATGAAAGGGCCCATGAAATAACCTGTTGGGCCAACCCGGTCCGTAGGTTGAATTCCTACGAGTGGTCTACGTCACCGCATATGTGAGCCCATGGTTTCTTGAAAATTCAAGAGAAGCTCAAGGGTAAAATTGGAACTGAAAAATCAATCAGGGTTTCAAAACCCTAGCTATTTATTCCCCGCATTCTCTCCATTTTTCAATTTATAAGTTCGAGCCTGCTCCTGCTCTGGTCTGCTTCTCCGGACATCGAGAAGAACGAGAAAGCAAAGCAAAATGGTAAAGTATTGACTGTGAATCGTGCAAGTATTTATTCTTCTATTCGATTTGCGAATACACGAATGTATTGATTTATTGGATCGTTCATTTACATGAAGATCGATTGATTGGACTCCTCGAAGTCGGTTATGTTCGGTGTGAGGAATGTGTTTTTAAGGTTAATATCTGTTTGTTTTCCGAGAAAGTTTGTGAGAAGGAGAGGGAGTTGTAGTTTAAACTTGAAAAGAACGCCTCCACTGGGTAGAGAGATGCTTTAGCTGTAAACTCTTTCTCTGCTTTAGGTTTTATTTGGTAGATATTAAATTTGCTTATTCTATTCGTTCGTGTTAGTCTTTGCAGTGGGAAAGATGACATGAAATTGAAGAAAAAATTATTTTCAAACTGTTGTTATATTAATTAACCTGTTGGGAAAGAATTAGTTATAGTTGAGTTTTTCCTTTTTTTGAAGGTTAACGTTCCGAAGACGAAGAAGACATACTGCAAGAGTAAGGAGTGCAAGAAGCACACCTTGCACAAGGTAACACAGTACAAGAAGGGGAAGGACAGTCTTGCTGCTCAGGGAAAGCGCCGTTATGACCGCAAGCAATCTGGATATGGTGGGCAGACCAAGCCCGTCTTTCACAAGAAGGTAAAGATATAGTTCCTAATTCCATTTACTGTCTATTTATGACTTTTGGACAATGTAGCTAGTTACGAAACGAGGTCGGTTGATGATTATGATTACGATTATTCTGTCTTTGATTCGTAGTCCCTTTCGATTGCCTTCAACTACTAGTTATTTGAGCTTTCCATAAAATCTGGACTCTAAGAAGAACCAGAGTCTTTGTGATTAATAATTTTCAGCAGTCTTTGAGTGTATAATACATAGATTGCCTTCAACTACTGATCAATTGCTTTAGTCTTTTCTATAAGTATTTGATAGTACCCTTTATCTTTAGTTTCATTTCTATAGGAATCTTAAATAAGAATCATAACAGGTGGAGTTGATGCTTAAATAAGGAAATAAAAACCATGTTGGTTTTTCTAATAAGATGTCAATCAACCTCAGTTGTTAAAATCTGGTTTGACGAAGAATGTTATTGATCTATGTTAAGTATGAAACATTAACCTGATATGCTGTTTGTGTTTTTGAAAGTTGGACTGGAAAACGTTGAATTCCACTTGTCAGAACTTGGCTTGTTCTGCCAAATTATTACTGCTTCCATTCCATGTCTTCTCTAGAAATTGCTGATTTCATTTCTTTAAACAGGCCAAGACTACCAAGAAGATTGTGTTGAGGCTTCAATGCCAGAGTTGCAAGCATGTGTCCCAGCACCCAATCAAGGTTAGAACTTAATAAATCCTAGTTTATTTACTGTTCAATTAGCCTTCCTTTTCTCTAACCACATTGTGCCGTTTCTTTTCTTCAGAGGTGCAAGCACTTCGAAATCGGTGGAGACAAGAAGGGCAAGGGAACTTCTCTGTTCTAAATCTTTTTTTCTCTGGAAATTTTCATTTTTGCTCATTTGTCAGAACTTAAAAGCTAGTACGGATAATCTGTTTTTCACATTTTGTGTTGTTGATTCAAGATTATGAGTTGTTATGGAAACAGTTATTACGATATCGAAATCAGTTGACTTCTAGGTTTTATAATTTGATGGCATTGGGAATTGGTCGAAGAATTCTTAAACTGTTTATGAAAGGGTTATATTTTGTATGAGAATTTTGAGTCGGTTGAATTTTTAACGGGGTTTAACGAGATTTGTCAAGAGGTAAAACAAGTTAAACTGTGTTTGAAATTAACTTTTGGTCTTACATAAAATTTTATTTTAAGAATTGAAAAATACAGCCCTAAGTTTCTCAATTAAATTTACAAGCTGCTTTTTGCTAGAACCTTCAGTTTTGAGCTCTTAACAGTATTTTAAAGATAATTATATAAATAATAAAAATAATGATATTATTACCAGTTTGAAACTCTATAACTTGGAGAAAGGAAGCTTCACTGCAAGACTCACCGTCGAGCAGGGATGAAAGTCGAACTTAGTGATCTGACGGACGGTGCTGAATAACAAGGTTAGATCTTTTTTGGAAAGCATATTGATAAACAAGTTAATACGTGAAATAAATGAAATAATTCCGTATAAGGAGATTCCAACTACAACGAAGATGAACAAATGATATTAAAAAGGAAAATGGAAAATCCAAATCGTGTTACATGCTGCAATCCATCATTTCCTATAGAATTTCTTTATTATTTTACATCAGTAAATCTGTATCTCAAATTATAAATCACCATACATTCAATCAAAATGGCACCAAATAAATGAGAAAGAAGAAAAAAAGTGGTTAAAAATATAATCAAAATCAAATCAAATCACTCACACAAATCTGTTAAATGGCTTCCTCCCAACAGTTGCAGGCATAGAAACTGTTGAATCCACACTTACATTCCCTAAAGACTGTTGCTTACCTAAAACTTTTGCAGGGCTATTACTTTCCTTGTTAGAAAACATGGACCCTTTGTTGTTCCACTTGATCGACCCGGTGCCCGGTGTTGGCGGGAACGAAAGTCTCCTGTTCTCGCTGCTCGGAGTTGCTGGAAGCCTCTCTTTTGGATTACTGTTGGCTCTCGCTTTTGCCTTCGCGGAAACTGTAGGAGTCATGTAGTTCGGGACTGAAAATGGCGGGCAGCTCATGAGGCTATCATCATCCTTTAATGACATGCTGAGAGGAGATTCAGCTCCACTCTCTCTTGCTTTTAAAAGTTTCGACAATGTCATGTTATGCGGTTGTGGAGTTCTGCTCAGAGGTGGAGTTCTTGCGTGTTTTATCGACGGTGGATAGAAGGGAGATCGTGAAGATTTTGGTGTCGGAGTATCCAAGTTGTCAAACCCGAAATGATGCCTGTTGTTGCTTGACTGTGGCCGCGGGCTTGGCTTCATCTCTGAATTTGGCCTTGACGGCGTAGTTGGAAATTCTTCACTGATTGATTTTCTGAGTTGTTCGGAGGAAGTTGTCGTTCAACCAGTTCCACCACCAAGGAAAGCCACCAGATCGTATATCGGATAGAGCAGTTTGAGCCGATTTAGGAGTGGTTTTCCATAACTATTGGCAATCAAAAAATAGCATGATTTGTATTAGAACGTGCATTAAATTATATACGAACAGCTAGTTCTATTATTTCTCGATTAGCATGCCTTTTTATGCGTGTTAAATCAAATTCGGATATTCTGATACCAAATAATAGAACACTTATTCCAAAAACTTAAGTTGATAAGAAATGACTTAATCTATTCTATATAACTCGAATAAGTGGAAAAATGAAGCAAAAGTCTTCTGTTTTTAATTCTTATTCAGGGAGTTGGGACTCGGTACCTGATGGGAATATGCATAGGCCATTGATCTTTCTCTCTTAATGATTGCCTCCACCTTTCTCTGCAACCTGGCTTCTACTTCCTCTTTTGTTAACAAGCTGGCATCCCAGTCCTCGTTACCTGCTTCGGACTACACCAGTTTCCCAAATAATTAACCTCGTTTCGCTTAACAAAGGTACAAAAGAGCTACGTACAAACCAAAAAATGACATGATTGACTAATATCTATAGGCAAAGAATGCAAATCTGGAATATTGACAGCTAAACTTTTCTAACACATTGATCAAATTTCGCGCCATGGATCAAGGACGGGTTCTAATGCATCCGAGTTTATCATACTAACTAGGACGAAGTTATGAATATGAGTACAAATAAAACTTATGGAAACTTACAGCTTGGCTCATTGCCAATTTTCCCAGTGTACCCTCTACATCTTTATTGTTCCTGTATTGAGCTTGTTGTCGGGCTTGGTTTTCTAACATTTGGATCCTCCTTGATTGAATCTGAGATTGAACCCGGACAAGCAGTTGCATATACTTCATGGCATTCATTGTTTGGCGTTTCACATTCTGTCCCCGTACAACTCCTTGAAGTCTCACTAGACCCTTCAAAGCCCTAAAACTCCTCCTTGCCTGTATAACAAGTAACATGTATTGCTTAATGAAAGGAATAATAGGCATTACATTTTCAAAAATCGTCTGAATCTTCCTATTTGTCATGATTCTCAGTGGCCTTTTATATTCACAGATTTGTCCAATCAACGGCCGGAAATAGAATTCTTACCATATAACCTCTATAGGCTGCTTGGATCTTGGTAGCCGAAGCATGATGGTTCCTAAGAGTTGGCTCCGGCCTGTAGCTTGTCTCCCTTTGGTGTTGAACAATTTTAGGAGACACGGGTCTTGGAGAAGAAACCCTTGGGGAAGCAACTCTTGGAGAAGCAGCTCTCGGAGAAGTTACCCTCGGAGAACTAGGCCTTGGGGAAGCAACCCTCGGAGAACTAGGCCTTGGAGAAGCAACCCTTGGAGAAGGAATCCTCGGAGAAGCAGCTCTTGGCACGAAAGGTGGTGTTTTTGGTTGCTCCGGAGGTGTGGGAGGTCTAAAAATTAGTCTATGCTCCCTTTCAGCTTCCCCTAAAATTTTCTCAATGCTGCTTGGCTCTCTGAATAGAGGAATGAATGAATTGGTTTCTCCATGCCTTAGTCTGCCTAGCCCCTTCTTTTTCTTCTTATCTTTTTTACTAGTGCCCTCGGGTTCCTGCAATAGTAGCAAAATAGCTCGGTATTATTATGTTCAGAATCCGAACACATGACAAGCTCTTCGAGCAAACACTCCCAACATTTACAGCTTCGTAAACCAAGAATGAAATAATAAACCAAGAATTAGGTAATCTGAGACTTATCATTTCAGTCTTTACATGCAAAGCATCATGGATGGAGGGAGTATTACCCTTCAATATGTATAATTATAATAATTTCCATACAAACTTATTCAATCCAGCGTCATTCACAATCATTCAACAAAGACAAAACAGGCATAAGTTACTTCCTGGAAGTTCCCATTAGAAACTTTATGCCCTTTCCACCTGGCAAAAACAAGCTAACTTAAACTAGCTTTGTTTCACTACCAATAAAGAGTACCACAATACCAATTTAGCTACCTCTTCTAAGGTAGTTTCGCTGAATACCTTTCCTTACCTACTGGAAAGTTAAGAAAAACCTGTAACAAAAAATTGCAGATAACATTGATATCAAGGCAACTTACGTTGTTTAGCTTCTCCTTGGACTGGGGTGTGAAAACCCTTTTGATTGCAGAAAACCAACTCCCTTTCTTACCCATGTTCCTAGCATTACTGTTTCTACCTGTAAAAAGAAATGATTGAAACATTTTAGTATTTGCAGGAGACCCGGCATACAATTTGCCTTCAGCCACCGGTGAGTATGCACATAGTCAGATTAGATTTTACGAGGCAGGCAGGGATTAACGAAAATTGCAGTATGACAACAATGAGTGTGAGACCACAAACTCAACTGCATTGCTAGAATTTGACGAAAAAGAAACCATACCAATCACCGAAGCCAAATACGAATATCTTTACTAGTTTATATATATCTATGTTGGATCACTCTACCTAAACTTATATGATCTAACATGACATGAAAGCCAAACTTCTGTATTAACTCATGGCTTAGCCTCACCAACAATTGTCTGATTACGTGAAAAATAAAGGTGCTTGAGGAGTATTAACAGATGTTAATCCCAATTATCATTAAGCTTTACTATTGCTAATTTAAGGATCATACAGGTTTCCATATGCAGAATACAAGTAAAAAAAAAAAGAAGCAGAATATATAAATATATAAATATGAATATGAGGCCGAAATCTTTTTTGTTTGAGACAAAGAATAAGCAGAAACAGAGGAATCTTCAAATTGGATTCTAAATTTCAGTTGTGTGTTAGGAAATAGGGTTACCATCCAACTGATGATATACTATGAAACAAGTGGATTAAAAAATATGGTGTTAAAGAAATGGTAAAGGCCTAGAATTTAACGTCAATATAAAGAATCAATACGTATATACAAACAAGCACATGTAGCCAAATAAAAATTGTCTAGTTAAACAAACACATGAGAGAGAAAATTCCCAATTTTCTTTTATAAAAGTCATTGAGAGAAAAAGGAACAAGATAACTAGGAATCTAGTTCTGTAAAAGGAAAATAAAACTGTAAAAACAAAATCTGAAGAAGAACTAGAAGTTTGACAGAAGAAGAAAATCATAAACCCTGCAAAACCACCCAAAAAAAAATTCTGTTTTCTAGAGAGAGAAAAGGATAGGGAAGTTCTTGTAAGTTAATGAACAAATTAAAAAATTCTGAGAGAAAAACAGAAATTCTTCGGGGCAGAAAGAAGTCAAAACAGAGAAGATCTCCAACAGAAGGATAAACTTACATTTCCATATATATATATATAAAACTTTAGCTAACATGAAACTTACAACACAGAAAATGCTTCTCCAGAGAGAAGGCACAGATACCCTGGTAAAAACTTAAATTAAGTAATTAAACTACCTGCAAACTAAATCATAATTTACACATCCCAAAAAGAGACTAAAAAGATCATTAATTTCAATAATTACCCAAAACCCAAAAGTTAAAATGGACTAAACAAGCTTATAAACATTAAAAAAAAAACTGAAACTTGAGCAGAACCCATGTGTATATTATATATACCTTATATGGAAGATCCTCTCATCACCTTCTAGTTTTCCACCCTTGAAAAAGAAGAAAAAGCTGCAAAAAGAAGTAATGAAAAGAGCAGAGAAGGTAGAGAAGCCCCTCCTGTCTCTTCTTCTTCTTCCTCTTCTTCTCTCCTTTCCCCTAAAATAAGAAGAGAGCATATGCTGCTTCCTGCTTTTCTTGGCTTAGCTTTTACATAATTTTTGCTTATATTCTTCTTCTTCTTCCTTTTTTTTTTTAAAATATTAAAAAAATAAGAGGAAATTTAAAATGCCTGAATAAATTTTTTTACTTTTCTTTTCTTTTCTTACCAGCTTTTTCACCTTTTGCTGGATTTATAATTTTCTTTTTAGCTTCATCATCATCATGATTTCTACAAGTTAGAGAGAGAGAGAGAGAGAGAGAGAGAGAGAGAGGAGTTGGCCACTTCCTCACTCAATGTTCCCAACTTCAACCAACTTTACTTCAATGGGAAGACAATCTTTGACAGCAACCTTCCCCATCCCCCTTGATTTAACACTTGGGTTTGGTGCTAATTACATTATAATTATTATTATTATTATTATCATCATCATTATTATTATTATATTTACGTTAATTGATTTTTTTTTAATTTTTTTTACACTATAATCATGTTTGTTTTGGTCTACTATTATTTATAATTATTTTTTAATAATTTTAACTATTATTTATTAATAATACCCACTATTACTTTTTTCACATCAATTAACATATTTTCATAATTAAATATAACAAAATAATAACATTCAAATATAAATTTAATTATTATATATATATTTTTTAGCTGGGTTTAATTTCATATTACTTATGAATTATTACTTAATCTTGATTATTATTATTAATTAATAATATTATTTTCAAACGGATAAATCAATTCAATCATCATCCAACTTATTTTCTTCCTTCACCAAAAGTTTTTCTTGTCCGTCCCCACGCGTTAGAGGTGGCGAGTGAGTTCACGCTCTAAACGGAGCGGGTCAACTATTGATTCATCAAATCGGAATTGACCGCCTCTTTTTCCACACCCGACACGTTTTTTCTACTTTTCCATCTCGTTTCAAGCCCACTCCGTGTACGTAAATTATACGTATACACGCGTGTACGTATACGTACGTACACGTGTTAATAATAAAATATAGACTAAAGTTTATTACAATAAAATGACATATTTTGAGAAATTAAGACGTATAATTAACATAATAATTACATATTATAATAATATAATTTCGTCTTTAAAGTTTTTTTAATCTTATTTTTTAAAAAAAGTCCCTTTTGGATTTGGACATTAACCCACAATTTCTTAACGGTAAACTCAAGCTTAAGTCAAAAGTCCAAATCTATGTAATTGAAATTTGGGTTAAAAGCGTAGAAGCCCAAAATCACATGAAGCTCGTAATTTGCAAAAATACCCTTTCAAAAACCATAATTTACAAAGTTAAACGGGTTCGGTAGAAAATCGCCGTCCGTCGACGGTGGGGCCCGGGGCCATCATCCGTCACTGTCGACAAAGTCTGGCGCGTGAAGCCACTTGCCGCGAACGGAACGTTACTGAAGTGAGGAGAAGATGTGGTGTGGTGGACCTCATGGTAATGGACGAGGAGCGTGGGACGCGGTGCTCCCGAAAGAGGAGACTTGCGATCTCAGCCGTCGATTAAAAATGGGTGTGAAAAGTTGCGGAATCCGAGGCGGATGATTGCGGTTTGCAAAAGTTTGGTGTAAAACATTTTGGGTACGTAACACTGTGCCATAATAACTCCCTGTCTGTACACGTGACATTTCGATTTAAGGTATCGAAATTGGACAGAGTCACTGATTGAGAAGTGTCTGGCATGGCCAGTATGGGAAAAAAAAAAAAAACTTTAATTAATTAAAACAATATTTTTTTTAATTACAGTAATTAATTTATTATTAACCATAATATTTAATTTAACAACACTAATAATTTGCATTTATAAAATAAAAATTCATATTTTAACGTGATACATTAAATTTTAAAATATATTTAATTTTATTAGATCACTTTAAATGATCTTAATTAATTTAGTAATTTTCACATAAACCCACTTAATTAATTAAAATTTAACAATAATTATTATATTAGTGTAGTGTAATAATGGTTTAAAACGAATTATATTAATAATATAATAAAAGATTTCATATGTTTATAAAACTATAATATTAATTAGTTCCATGCTTACTCAATCGGTTAGTTAGATATTATGGATTGAATTATTATACATCACACAGAATGATGAAATAATTATTATTATTATATAAATCAATTATATATTTAGAAAAAACAAAAAACAAAAAATTGGTAGGTCAACCAAAAATTTCAGAACTTCTGTACAAGGTTACCCAATAAATTATATACATACACACACACATTGACTTTCTAATTGATTTTTTTTTTTAATTTTTTAAAAGTAGTTAATATACATATATCTATATATATAAATATGCTAGCTTCACTTGAAATTGTATGTGTAATTAGAATAATATATTTTAAAATCTATTGAATTTGATGAAATTTATAATGAATTATTTTTTTTTTTGTTGTCAATTTTTTTTTAAATCTAATTCAAAATTAAAATAATATGTAAATAAGTATTTTAATTTATGGAAAAGTACTAAGTTAATATTTTTTTTATTTAAGAAATCTAAAATTAGATTTAATTATACAAATAAAAAATTAATTTGACATTTAAAAATGTGCAAAAGCTAATAACCCAATAAACAATATCTCTTCAGTTTGTAAATATGGTTGTTGATATCATCACTGTACAGACTTTACAGGTCTTAAACCCCACTTTCTTCTCTTAATTAATTTAATTGCTTTCCCCCCCTTATATACATACACATACACACACACACACACACATATATATATATATAATAAGAACAAATGGCATGTAAGTTAATGTTAATTACTTAATATTTTTTTCTAATGATACCATATTGGCTTTTTTTTTTAATAAAAAATTATTTGTCACTGCCTTTAGAGATTCTAATTTTGATTTAATATAGGAAGCTTGTTAAATGATTGATAAGCTTGTAAACATATATATATATATACACAAACACACACACACACACATTCATTTTTGAAGTTAGTATTATGCTTAAATTTAGTCAAATTAGTTTAATTTTAGAATTTATGAACCAAAAAAAAAAATTATTAGAAAAAAATTTACAATTGAATATTGATTAGATATGTATGATTGGAATGAATGGGGGGAAAGAATTAGATTATGGAGATAGTGATAGTTGAATTATGTGATTACATTTTTTAGCTTATAAGTTTGTTCTGATTTTGGCTTCTCTATAAGCACTTTTTGGCTTCTACTTTTTTTCTTTTTTTTTTTTTTCTTTTCCTTCCTCCAAAGTCTCTCTTATTGGCTAAGGCTTTTAGGTTTCACCATATAAGCTGTCTTTATGGGAGGAAAAAAGAGCTTCACTAAATTGATATTAAGAAATAAAGCGATATTTCTATTTGTGACATATAAATACGAGCGAGATTAATCTTAAATTGTAAAAATAAAAATTTTGAGATGTTACGGTATCTGGGTTTTATACTACTAAATTATTATAATTTTTGTAAAAAAATATATTTTATTAGTTAAATTAATTATAATAGATTAATATTTGATTTAATTTTTTGTAATTTAAAAAATTAAAAAAATTTATTATTAAAATATCAGATTAAATGGATTGATAGTTATATTTAAAATTATTTATGTTTAATTTTTAATTAAATTTATTTAAAATAATAAATAACTTTCAGGTTTTTTACCATTGTTTTCTTTTTTTTTTTGTGGGTGTAATTTCTTCTTTTACAATTAATAATATTTGGCTTATGAAAGGTGTATCAAGTGACATGTCCCAATCTGTTGATGCTGATATAGCACCATAATAGCTTTTTATCAGAATAAGCTGTCCAAACATCTTAAAATTCCAATAGAAAAAGCAATGCTTTTCTTCAAATTAAATATATATATATATATGTGTGTGTGTGTGTGTGTGTGTGTGTGTATAAAGATTTTTACAATTTTTTAAATGGATTTTTCATGTTAAAACAAAATTATTTATGACCACAACCATTCAAGAGAACAAGAAAAAGAAAAACATTAAAAGTTAATTTGTCTCTTTGCAAATTTTGTTGGGTCACATTCTGATTTCTCAAAATCATTATATTTAAACATTAATTTACTCTTGAATTGTGATTTTTCCAAATTGTTACAAGATATTTTATAAGGAAACTAATTTTGAAAATCTTGGGCACATTTAGATTTTTCTTTGAAATATGCATTTTGTGTATTTTGAATTTCTAATTCTTAAAAATCAGATAAACGAATGATCCAATTAAAAGAATAAAAAAACCCATAAAAAATATGTTATTATATATGTAAAAGCAAGATCCAAGCATTTGCTGTTTGGCAACAAAGAAAATTGATTCTCTCTCTCTCTCTCTCTCTCTCTCTCTCTCTTTTTTCTCAATTAACATTCTTCTTTTTCAGCCATTACCATCTTACTAAGAGGACTAGGCCCAAGCTTTTTTCTCCTTGACAATGTTCTCCTCCTAATAACTTCCATTTGATTTCGTCTCCTAACTTGCAACATTGCTTCCTCTTCCACAACAAATCTCCTCATCAACACATCATCTGTCAAAGATTTTCCACGAAAAAATCTCCGTCCTTCTATGCTAAGTCGAGGAGTAATAGAGATTGTTTCTTGTGCAGTAAGACAAGGTTTTGATGTTCTTGGATAAGTATTACTTCTTCTAGGAGGAATGATATCAGCTCGAAAAGCTTCGTTGTAAGAAGAAATTGGTGCACATAAACAAACTCGAGTAAAGGAAGTAGCAACCTTAAGAGACGTACATTTTCTTAACTTTTCTCTATTGGAGTTGGTTTGAGAGATATCTGACGACTTGGAAATAGTTTTCCATAATGTTGTATTTATTGTTGGGACTTCTAATCCATTGGATTTGGGAATCGTTTTTCGTAAGACAATGTTCGTTGTGGAGATCTCCAATCCGTTTGACTTTGGAATTGTTTTCCATAGTGTTGCAATCTCTATTGCTCTTTGATACCAAGGTTTCCTGTAAAGAAAAAATTGATATATGTAATTATAATTTACAAATAATTCTTGATAAGACGAACAAAATTAAAATTTATAATGAAGTAAGTAACTGAAATTAAATCGTAATATAAATATTATAATTAATCAGATCATTAGTATATTTAGTTATTCGTTAAGTGCACATAAATAGTATATATAAATATAAACTTATTATTATTATTTTTTTGATAAATTTCAAATCCTAAACCCATTTATCTAGAAGAATTAATAACTAGATCTAGGGTGGTTTTTAAATATTATTTTTTAAAAGAATTTGGAAATCATACTTATAACTAATAATAATAAAGTGGGCCCCATTAAGAAATGAGGCTTGTCGAGAAATTTTTTGACCGTTGGCTTCCTAGCTAGAAAGCCATAATAAGAACAACACTCATTTCGGCTTTTCTTCAAAGTGCTTGACATCTATACATAATGTTGGTCATGTTTCACTTGCAAGCCTAATCATTTTAAAGACAAAATTGGAATACATTTTTCCCCCATATATATATATATATGTATGTGTGTGTGTGTATATGTATCTACATTACTAATTATCACCTTTTGGGTATATGAATACTCTGAGTGTGATATAAACACAATATAAAACATACCCTATGAAAATTGAAATAAAAAAATTTCCCCTTCGACATATTTTCTTATAGTAAGATAGAAAGAAAACAAGATTTTCAAATGGGAAGAACTTATAAAGCAAGAGTTGACAATTTCGTCCAACTACCAAAGTTTTTCTTTTTTTTTTAGTAGTTTGAGTTTAAGAGTTCAAATTCATCTACAACACTACATTACTAAATGTGATAGACAATATTTCATGTTTAATTTATTTTTTATTTAATTCATAGTCAATTCTTAATTTTAATTTTAATTTTAATTTTGATTTTAATATGTATAATTAGAACAATATTTATTGTAAATATTAATTTTAATACACATTTTTAAACTAAGAATTAAATGAAAGACAAAACAAAGGTAACCTACATCATAAATCAAACTCAAAATGTAGCTAGGACAAAAACATAGTTCAACAAATATGTAAGCCTATATAGAAGATATGAGAATTGTGCAGGAGAGAGAGATGGAAAGTGGGTGGATGATATACACACACACACACACACGCACATATACATACCTTGAGGGAGAGGTCTTTGAATCTTGCATGAACAAATTAAGCAAATTGAAGAAGACAGACCACTTGATGGTGAGAGAGGAGAAAGAATTTTCATTTGGGTAAGAGAGAAAAGAGGAAGGGAGAACTTTGCCTTCTAATTCTTACAAAATGAGAGAGATGAGAGTTGGCCCTTATGTTTTTTTGCACCTGTCTTTTCTTTTTTCTCCCCCATTCTTTATTACTACACACCCATAAACTCTCTTTTGCTTTTGGCAGGCATGATTCCCATTGATTTTGTGTGTGAGAGAGAGAAAGAGATATAGATATATATAGGTATATATATATATATATATAGATATAGATGTATGTATTCAAAGATCAAAGGCAAAGTAGGAAAAAAAAAATTGTTGCTTTTAAGGCAATTAGTAGACTAAGCCTTTAAAGAGGGAAGTGTAGTTGATTAAATTCATGTACTTTCTAGATCATACATGTATAGAAAAGTATACATAATCTATATATATATATATATATATATATACAAATGATATAATCATGTTCATTACCTCTTGATTAAGATAATCTCGTGGTGTAAATAATTATGATTCATGAGCAAAGTAAACATAGTTAGGGCATTAATTGGTTCTATACATGCCTGGCCTGCCTTTGGGTTACCAAAATAATAAAGAATCAAAGTAAGCACACCATGCTTCTTCAGGCTAATCTGGTTCACATTGATTTCAATCCTAACAGATACACACACACATACATATAAATATGTATATATATATATATATATCAGAGTCTTCATTAATTAGCAAAGTTGTGAATCTCATCATGATAATACCAAAAGCATAAAAAAGTTGATTAATAACATAAAGTAATCTAGTTTACTAAAATAATATAAACAATATAACCTTTAAATTTCTAAATGTTATGGCAGTAAAAATGTGTTTAAAGCAAATTTTTACATTCTAAAATTAAGTTTTTGAAAGATGATATTAAAGACATACTCTTTTATATGGGCAAATTTGAAATTTTATTTTCATAATACTATTATATAATCAAATTTTAATTATCAAAATATAAAAAATAACCATATATCATACTGAATTAATAAATTTATCCGTAGACTATAAAACCCAAAAAAAAGTAACTAAAAACAAGAGGAAAATTTCCTTATAACTAAACTCACATAAGCAAACATTAAAAGATAAATGGTAGAAATAGTTTAAAATTCTAACATACTTGTAAAAAATATTACTATAAAAAATTGATCCAGGCGATTAAACCAATCAAAGAAAAGGTGAAATTTTTATAGTGCAGCCTGATTTGAGATCCAGAGTGGTTATAAATTATTTGCCAATGGATGGCATCATGATTCAGTTTTGTGGGTGGAGTTATATCCAGAACACCCAAAAGCTGCTACAAAGTGGGAAAGACATGATCATTGGAGACGCATGTTGGGTTACAGATTGCAATTCAACCCTCATATATATACATATATATATATATACATGTAAGTTGAATCTCTAAGAAAAAAGGTTAATTAAAATAAGAAAGCATGCATTTCACTATATAAATTATTAGGATTCAATCAAATTACTGTAATCTGATTAGCATGTCAGGGTTTTAGAGGATTTACTTTGGTTTTAATTTATAAATCTTGGAGTTAGTTTGTATTAAATAAAATTTTAGTGTCATAATTTTGAGTAAATTTTTAAATATCAACTTTGGTTTCTTTTTTCCTTAATTGCTCTGTGAGTCAAAAGGTATTTAGGGTTTATCAGTCATCTTTTTTGCTTTTTCTGTGTAATGTAGACCATAGAAATGATTTTGTCCACTTTAATTGGACTGGAAATTATAAGAGCTCCCTCTCTCCTTCTAGAGAAGGAAAAAGGGATAGTTGTAAAAGTCAATAGTAACATCCTTTACCCTTTAGAACTCTACTGAATTTAAGGTTAAATTAAACAAGATCATGACTTTCAATTTTACAATTTGGACTTTTCATTTTACCAAACTGTTTTTTAAGGGTAAAACATTGAAAAAGAAAGGAAGATATATAGGGTAAAAAATTAAATAATTCTACATAACATAAATTTTTTTTTTTTCTCATTTTTCTCTTCAAGTGTACCAAGTGAAAATAGGAATACAGGATTCGAATGATAAAGGGGGGAACAATAAGAAAAAGAAATCAGTTGGTTGGCAACATGTGCCCGTTCTGACCATCTCAAGTGTTCGCTTGGGGGTCTTCCCTATTGGGCAGCCATTCTTGAATTCTTGAGTTCTAGAAAAAATCTTCAAGTTGAACCTAATTTACCCACCCGAACCATCATTTTCACATATCCTTATCTAATTCACATATTCTTTCATTTTCTCCTGTTCTTGTTTGTGTTGACAGAGATTTCTGCAACATCCGGATAGATAACCTTGTTAAAAAATGAACAATTGATGTCAAGTCAGCATGACAGCTAAAAGTCTGGCTTACGTATCAACATTCGGAGATGTGCGAAGGTGGCAAAGTTCTAGAAGGGAAGAAGGCAAAGCCCTATAAGGGACTGCAGTAGCATAACTCCAGATTTCGTATAATGATTCTGTTATTTTGTTTCATTTGATTACCTCCATGCACACAATTGCCTAACTATTTTGTACAGAATTTAAGGGGAATGTACAATTGTAAATAATTTATCATGCAGCTCTCTTCAATATATATACAAGTAGAAATGCAAATGTAAAAGTTACCTAATGCAATTCACTCAGCAAAATTCTCTCCATCTTTCTGGTTTATCCTTCTTTGTTCCCTGCAAAATACTTAAATCATTTTTTCATAAACCCAAAGATCATATGATATATTTTTTTCCGGGAAGTTACAGATTTAGATTTGTTTAAACTAATAATGTACATTATAGTTATCATGAAAAAGTGTAGCAAACCTACTACTGACCTTTTAAAAGGCAGATGCAGCTCAGAAGAGAGACGAGCCAGGATGAGATGTGCTCTGTTGGACACATAATGCTCATCCAGAGAGAAGAGCTCTGTTGCGACTTATCTGTATATAAGATTACAGTTGCAAACTCCCCTCTAGGGATTACAACTCAATCAAATTATTGCAGATTAGTTTGCAATAAGAAATTACTAAAGAAACAGAATTGAGTAAAATTTGGTAACTAAATATATTCCTGAAATGATCATAATAAGCTTCCCCAGTCAAATTCAGCCAGAGACACGATAATAAAGTTCAACCTTTTCCCGTCTTCTGATTACGATAAACTTTTCAGGGTTACTGGAAAAGAAGAGCCGAGAAAAAGAAAGTCTTCCGGCTACTTGCCAATTCGTGTAGCATCTAAAAGCAAACTTGGGTGAAACTGAAAGTATCCTGATCAGTCTCCTTTGTGTCATGTCTATCTCGCGACTAGACTCTACATCCATGAAAGACCGGAACATGATATTACGATTTTAACGGATCTGCTATGTCAATGCGATTTCAGCCTTTCAGTTAAATAAAAGTCCAGCAAGAGAAAATTAAAAGCTCCACAAGAAAAGAAAACCAATGCCAATGGATGAGTCTACTCATAAGTCATGGTACTTTATTCATAATTTACATAGAAGTACCAGTTTCCATCTGCTTACCAGAAAAAAAAAAAAACTAACTTGTGCATTCGTGATGAATTCACAAGAGGAAATTCTAGAACTCACTGGCTGTCAGGATCACCTGGCTGTTGCTTACTCCAGCCACCTGAACAAGCCTTGCGTTCCCCACGCTTTCTCTTGTTCCTGGGGATATGAATGTCTGCAGCTAAACATGATTCTAGAGTTGGCTGCTCCTGAGGTCCAGTGGGTTTCACCATTGGACCACTTTCTGATTTCAAAATTTGAGAAGGACCAGTGACTTCTTCAACCATCTCTGCTTCATGGTGCACATCTCTGGTTCGATTACCAGTCATCAGGAAAGTGTGCCTTTCTGCTTCAGCAGCTTCATTATGTATCAAGACATTATCTACAGTCTGCAATTATAAACATTGGGTACAGTCAACAGGTTTTTATGGTCAATGGGTTCCTATTGTTATTAGTATGTCAAACATCCATCTAGTAAATAGTTTTTGGAAACAAAATCATATGCATGGAAACACAGCACAGTCGACACATAATCCTTTCATTAGGAAGCAAGTCAATGCCAATTTCAATCACAAAGAATGACTACATAAGTTTAAAGAAGTCAAGGGACTTAGAAAATAGCATGCGATGTTGACAAGCATTAGCCTTGTATAAAGAATGGAACCTCAAAACCCTTAAAACCTTAGGAGACAAGAATTTGATGACAGGTTCTGATTCTAATTGCATCTCTAGGTTTAGCATATAACATGGAGCGGTTTCCATTTAATTACTTGTGGAAAGTAATTGACTTATATAAACAAAAAGATTCAGACAGATAACCTTGAAGAAAACGTGACAGTATCTCAACGAAAAAAAATATTCTTGTTGTGGTATCTATAATTTTCAAACATTCCCCAAGATACAGCTTTAAATATGATGTCAGATCACAGAATCACAGAGAATGAATCCAGGGGTGTGAAAGATGGAATAATGTTAAACTCATTCAAAATTTTGTGCAATTTGAAATAAATGTATCTGCATGCTTTCAGAAAATATTTGGTTGGAAATAACAACTCCTGGTGTGTGTGTGTGTGGTGCCTAGGCTGTTGGGTGTTAACTATGTCAAGAACACTTACATCTTCACAGGAATCTCCAATTTGTGACTGGCGGAAGGTAACATCAGAACCGGACAATATTCCCACTGTACTCTCAATAATATCAGGAACATGAAAATCCCCTCCATAGCTTGAGATAACGCTTTCAGGCATAACCAGATCGCTGACATCATACTCTAAAATATGCAGGACAGGATTATACATGACTCCTGCTGATATCGCCTCCCCATTTCCTGGAGAGAATGTAGGACTAGGTGTTTGTCCATCACAAGGTACAAGAAGACTCAAATTCTCGGAGGATGAAAACTTTGCAGCATTTTTAGACATCACAACATCAAGTTGACCCTTCAGCTTGTTAACTCGAGAATGCATCATCTCAATTTTCCAAAGAAGCTGCTCCAAGGGTTTATCATCATCTTGGAATTTTAAAGTTTGTTGATTGTTATTGACATCTAGTTTTTTCTTGCTATCAACATTTTGGTCCTCAACTGCTGCTCCAAAAAATAACACACAACAGCTGTCAGAGTCTGAATTAAAAAAAAATACAGTCTCTTTTTTAGAACAGTTTTAAGACAACAATGAAAAAAGTATGAAGTTAAAAATGTGCACAAAGAGAATTAGGAAAAAACCATCACAATGTGACTAGAGATACATACAGATAGGAAAAAGTAAGGGAACACCATCATAAATTCTCAGTACAGTACAACCTTTTATGCTGAAACAGTTCCAAATTATGGAAACATTCGTGCATGTGCCAGTATAGAAGAGCTTTACAGAGAGAAAAAAAAAAGAAGAACAGATTACATTTAGCTTCGACCTTTTTCCTTTTCTCTTTTCAGTTAGTTATTGCACTACAAGATTCCTAATAGCATGGATTACAATGTGAACTTGGTGGTTTAGCTTTGAATAATTTTTTACAGAAAAGAAATAGAAACTAGACTTGGTTATCTAATGCAACTCATGGCATTAGCCGTGCAATAGTGTTAATGGTAGAAATAGAAGTGCAGTGCAGCAGTAACAAACAATCGATCCCATAAAGGTGGTCAGACTTGATGCCATAATGCAAAATATTCCAACTAGAAGCAGAAGATTTAAATCAAGAATGATGCTTCATATTGCAGTGTGTAATATAGATTAAAGGCTAATAATAGGCAAGTCGACTGCTTAGAGATGTTGGCAGGTTTCAGTGCTATTCAGGTAACTTGATGTAGAATGATGCAAGCACGGATAAGATGCAGCAGAAACAGTTACCTGTGCTACCGAAATCATCAGCCAAAGCAGTGCCATCTGAATTAGCTTTCTTGGTTTCTGCATTGTTTGGAAACATTAACCACAAAAGTGATACAAAAACCTGGCAATTGATGTAAAGTATAGAGAGAAGCTTGTACCAAGATAAGAAAAAAGGTTGTGATCTGACATGTATGATGCTATATCTGTGGTGTCTTCAACTCTCTTACGTTTCCTCCTCTTTATCGCCTTTTCTCTGTAGTATTGATTAGAATATGGCAATGATTTTGAACCAAAACCTTCTATTGTTGATGGATCAATTCCTGAAAGCTTTCTTTGATCATATGCAGCAAGCTCGTTGGAATATTTTAATGCCTGGTGCTCAATTTCCTTAATTCTCAGTTCCGTCCATTTGCATCGCCACATAAGAGGTCGTATAAAGTTCCTCCAGTGAGTTGTTAAGTTCTTCTTTCTAAAGTACAACCACAAGCAATTTTAATGCTTAAATGACCAAGTAATGGTGCTAAAAGCATGATTAAATACATTCAGCCAAATATCACCTCTTATTACATACAAGGATGGCATCCCCTTGCTGCATTGTTAGTGGACTTTTTTTTCAGAAAAAAAAATTCTTATTGCACATCTAGGAAACATAAAAAAAAATCACTTTTAAAAAATTGGAAGATATAAGAACACGCACCTTGTTTGAGCCATTCTACTAAATGCATCACAGCCAGGCCCTAAATCATCATCACCGAAAAATTGGGATTCCACTTCAGCATCACTGAATCCACAATGTTTCTCAGTGTCAGATGATGTATTCACAAATGAGCTAGAACATTCAGTTGAATCCGGGTCCTCGGCTTCAGTCAATTTGCAGTCACTTTCATTTAGACAATCACTTATATTAACCTCTATGTCCTCGGCACCCTTTAGAGCATTGGATTGTTCATCCAATGGAAATACAGTCCGATTGACATCCTCACAACTAGTCATGCACTTCACATGATACCCGTCTGCATTATTCAAGGAACTCTTCTCACTCTCAGGTGTGACTTTTCTTGTGTGATGTGATTGATTCTCTGAATTGACATCCATTAGTGATTGACAAGGAGCCATATTAAAATACAGACTCACACCAAGCCATTGATAGTAACACTCAAAGAAAATGTCTGCTGTTGTCCTGAAATCAGAATGAATTAGATGTTTAGTACACTCCAAGCCATTCAAACTGAAAAAGTAGCAGATTACTGACCAGGTTCGGCTCCATTAGGAGACTAGAATAGTCATTGCTTTTATATAGCATGTTTTTAGTAAGAAACAGATCTCTAATATTCAGAATACCAGTCTACTAACTTGGAGGTATAAGATCAGATCTTTCAAGGTACGGCGGGAGGGAGGGAGGGAAGATACATGCAATGCTATTAGAAAATGTCATTCCTTATGATTTGGGAAAAAGAGGCTGATCAAGCAAGGAATCATAATACAAAGAATAAGTACGAACAAGGACACTTTTTCTGCCGACCAGAATGAGTAAGCAACCAAGTGATTGTCTCCAGAAACTTTTAGAAACACTATTTTATTATACATTTGCATATTCATAACAGAATACTGCCCACTACTGATGTAGCAATAAACTCAAATCTCAAAACCAATCATAACATCTGAACAACCATTTTTTAGATATTAAAAGAAAAAAGGATTGAGAATTTACCTTACTTGTGAAGTATTTATAGCTCACTAGAAAGTAAAATATAATGCTTGTTGTACAAGTGGAATCATTCAAATGGTTAATGCACCTTTTCTCTATTTACTAGCCTTATATAACAAACTTCTCCAAAAAAAATTATGCCTGCAGGCCACGGTCAGTCACTGTTTAATTTCCTTTCCTAGTATAACTAACTAATAAAAGTACTTAATTTTAACCACAAATTAAAAGCCTTCTCTTTTTTCTTTAGTAGAAAGGTTACATGGAAACAATCAATACTTGGCTATCATCCCTAAGTGAGACCATAAGTGCTAACCCACTATTAACAAAAATTAAGCGAAGTTTAGATGGAAAGCGTGAAAATAGCAGTCCTTTCCTTAAAAACTACGTACACTCTTACTTAGTAGGAGAAGAGATGGCAATGAGATTAAAGAAAGATATTTAATAAAAATGCTGTGATTCTGAGGATTCCTTATAACTTAAAATGACATCATCCAGTAAAACGTAAACATTCAAAGAACTAGCGCATTCCCTTTCTTTGTAGGACATACTGGTTACATGAGAGGAATTCCCAAAAGAAAACTATAGAAAACCCAAAGGCAAAGGGAAGGGCAGTTCAGTTTTACAGTGAAACCAAGCAACTCCATGAGTACTGAGAATGCCTATTCAGATGTTCCCTGTGCACAGAAAGGACAGACCTCAGAGAAATTCTAGGCTTGTGCTGAATTAAGTGTGGCAAACACTTGCAACTAGACCTCAAATTTTATTTTTAAAAGATGGTCATAAAAGGTTGAATCAGGTCAATTGTAGATGAATGCAGAAATATCTCTTTTGATTTACCACAGAAACAAACAGAAGATTCTTTTTCAAAGAGCACTATGAAGTGGCCTAGTGATAGAACTACATAAGATACACCATTTCATATATAACTATAGTGGCTGCAACATACTATTAAGTACCATCCTATTCCATGACAAGGCTTCCTGCTTCAATATCCCATTCCCTGATCACCTGCTGCATACAATGTATCATTGAGAATATGTTAGAAGCTAAATTCAACAAAACGAATGAAATGCATGAGAGATAAACTAGTCATCATTACAGATCAACTCGTCCATTTCCTGTTATCATCAATCGCGTGGTATGAAAATACAGTCGTAACATTAAATCGGTCCCTTAATCAGCTTTTGCACTGCTCATCCTTCGAAGAATCGTAAGATATAACCAAACAGTTTCTTGAATTAAGCTTTGCATGCATAATATTTCATACAACAACAGTGCAACTTCCATCTCCACCGATTTTAAAAACAAATTCACAGTTCATAATAAACATAAACCAAACAGTTTTCCGATACACGCACTGAAATCAGCAGACGTGATCAAGCTAATGCGCAAAATTAAAAAAAAAAAAAAAGAAGATAGATAGAAAAACAAACAAACGAACATTTCAAGCTACGGTTTGACAATCGCAAGCAGCAGATTGGAGAACGGACTACATCATGAACAAACCACAGCCCAAACAAAGCTGGCTTGAGAAAGAGAACAAACACGAATTCAACATAAAGCTTCGTGTAAACGTACATAAGCAAGTAGTACTTTACTAGTTTATATAACTCTCATTTATATTTCACCGAATACAGGTGACGCGAGAGAGAAAGAGAGGGAGAGTAGACGAACCAGTGAGCTGAGGAGGCAAAGCGGCGAGGAAGAAGAAAGGAGGAGAGCAGAGTTTAAAACGTTATATTTATATTTGGAAGTAATAAACCTAAAAGCGCAGCTTCTGCTGCCGTCGTACACTTCCCGCTTTCGCTTTTTATTAAAAAAAAAAAAATCAATCGCTTTGCTTCTCTCCCTTTTGCTTTTTTTTTGTTTTTTTTTTCTAAAAAAATATTTATTAGCCGAATTTTCAATTTGTATTTTAATTTTATTTCTATGTGACTACGTGGGTCTCTTTCTTTACTACTAAAATAATCATTTTAATTTATAATAATTAATTAATTGTATAATAAAGAGAAATTTATATGGGTATTAAAAACAAAAAAAATACCTGAAATTTATGGAAAGTCCCCTAAAACATGCATTAATTTATTATAATAAAAAATATGTATATATATATTTATGTTAAAATTCTGGCATTGAAATTTTAATTAGAAGATAATAAAATTTCGTATAAATAAGATATTATGAGATTATTTTTAAAAAATTTCGCAAGTAACTATAATAATGCATTAACTTTATCAAAATTTTTATATAATTCTATATATTGGTTGTTTTTGTATAGTTATGGGATAATTTTTATTTAACTATAGTTAAGTTATATATAGATTTGCGAATAAATAATATTATATTTGTTTTAATTATAAACTTAATAATCTATCATATCATATAAGTAGAAAAGTATTTTAGAACATCATAAAATCTATACTATTTATTTAAAATAGGTAAATTTATTTATTGTTCATAAATTTGATTCCAGTTTCATTTTAATTTTAGTATTATTACATAAAAATTATACCAACAGTGATTCTATTACATAAATAGTTTATACTATATATTTATTATAATTTTAAATGTTCAATAATTAAGTTGATTGTGATATAAAAAATAATTAATTACAATAAAAAATATAGTGCAAATTATATTTATAATTAAAGTAAAATTATGATTTTTTTTAAAATTACTAATAAAAAATACATGAAATATATAAGATAATATTGATCATCATACTCGTGATCATCAATGAAATTAATTAATTAAAGTTAGCTTCAATTATTTCGTATTAATAATAAATAATTCAAAATTCATCAATATTATAATCAAATTTACGTATTAAAATTAAGTATATATTTTTATTTTCATTAGGTTTTAATAAAAAATACGATTTAATGCAATAAAGCTGATTCTGAAATTATAATTGTCTTTATATTACAAATTTAATAACATAATTATGTAATAAAAATAATTAATTTTGATTATAATATATTTTACGTTACATATATTGCCATAAAAAAACCAAATATTTTTTTTAAAAAAAGCAGGAATCAAAATAAAAAAGTATAAAATTCAGGAATGGAAAGTATAATTTGCATATATTAATTAATATATAAAAAGTAAAACCGTTTTGCACTCTTAAAGCATACTTTTCTGCCAGATTTCTCATTCAAAGATATCCGTAATGGCATAATTGCCTTGCCCGTTATAATTACCAAATTACCCTCTTCGTTTACCGAAAACCCGAAACCCATATAAACTCCAAAGGCGCAGAATAATTCTCCCTAATTTGAAGGGTAGGATTGTCATTTAACCCAACTAACGATTTCCTCATGTCCCCGTGTCATATATATTAATCTCTCTCTCTGCCTGCAACGGTTCATCTTTGACTCTCTCTCTCTCTCTCTCCCCGTCTTTCTCCATTTCTCTCTGTAACAATGTCGGGTCACTCATCAGTTACTTTGCAGAATTCTTAATTCAAAGCCCCAGAACAAGCGAACTACTAGTTGATATTGGAATCTGTTGTGCATTGAAACCAGAAATCGCGAGGGAAAATAAATAGGAGAAATAGATGATCGGTACGCGAGGTAATTATATTAATCTGACCGAAACGGTCCTGGAGTTTATGGTGCCGTCATGGTGGGAGGTCCAGGTAACGATGGCTGCGTCTGTATTCGTGATCGTTGCCTATTGGTTCTTTACGTATCGTGGCGGAGGTGTTGATGGCGGTTTTGACCGATCGCAGCTCGTGGAAAATTCCAACTCCGGAGATATTTATGATAGAGACAAGGTTGATTCCTCTCTCTCTCTCTCTCTCGGTCGTTTTTTTCTTTCGAGTGTTTGGTATTTTATTGGCGTCCATGTTCTAGTGTTTTGTTTTTCGTTGGTGAAATTGCATGTTTAATTAAGTTGGTTCAGGTTTATTCATGCCTTTGTCGGAATTTTTTATTGCGTCATCTTGATGTGAACTTACGTTGGCTTTCAAATAATTAAGATACCTATGTGCTCCTATTTACTTTGTATCTACGTTTTTTTTTAAGATTTAATGTGAATTTTAGTGGACTCCAAAAAACAAATGGTTGCTGCTTCAAATTCAGTTCTTGCTGTTTCTAGTTTACTTGTCCCATTTTGACGCGATTCTACGAGTGTTGGATGATTGCGATATTTCATTATGAATACAAGGTCGATGTCTGTATTTCTTCTTGTATTTCTGTGGGTTTTGTTGATCAATCACTTCTTCCTGTTCAATTCGTCGAAATTTCACTTAGCTTGGTTGGTGCAATCTAATATTCGAGGAAAACAAGGTTGAAGGTAATTAAATTTTAGAACTTCAGTTTGGTTGGATGTTAGAGTAAGGATGCTAGTTTTATTCTTGTTTAGACTGAAGCTGCTGATAAAGCGTCTGTTAATATAAAATGTATGAATCTTGAATTTTAGTAGTTTTGTTTTCACTTCAGCCGGGGGAAAACCACTTATTTTTTGCCTGCTCATTCAGTTTCTAACCAGACCAGAAACAAGATCCTTCTTCTCTCCCTTTCCCAATATAAAGCTAGATGAAATGCAGTTAATAGAATTTTTAGCATTGTAGGATTCATGTCAAAATTTGGACTGCAAATTAATCAAACATATGCTTCATACATGTATTGAAGCATGAAGAAAGGAACTCATGACGGCACTGCCAAACCTTTTAAGGTTATCTGTTGTCTTTATGCATGGGGGTTTAGAAAATATAATCACATTGCAGTTAGGGTTGTGCATACTTGTTTCATGGAGTAATTTTCCACTTCTTTGACGTGCAGTTCTGCACTTATTTTGTAGATGAGCCTGTTGAAAGGATATCCTCCATTGAACTCTGCATATATAATCAAGGTAAGCTTGGATTTCTGACATGTGTTTATACCATACATGAACATGAAACATGAGGAGTTTGGGTTGCCTTAAACACCATATCTTTAATCACGTTATAATGTGCTGTTTTTTTTTAAATCAACATTTCTTGCAATGAGGTGGTATCTGCTGTGTTTTTCAGGTTGAATTGTTGGCTGCTAAGAATCTTATCGGTGCAAATCTAAATGGGACATCGGATCCTTATGCTATTATTACTTGTGCTTCAGAGAAGAGATTCAGGTTATTTAATCCAATGGCCCACATTTTAATTTCTTAAATAGTTAATAAACTAATAATGTTGTCAACTTCTCAATGATCCTACATTGATCTTAATAGGCATCATTTTAACATATATGTCAAATTCTATATTATCCTAAAGTGGATATAAGGCAGTGATTTTTAGATTTTTTAAAATAGCAATATGGCAATTATTTAAAATAACCACCTAAATAGCATAAGTTCCTTAAAGGGTTGCCAAATCTTACATTGATAGGACTTGAAAAATTATGGATTTGATGTGGTAGCAGTATGGAATTGAGGTTTGAATGCGGAAGTAATTTTCAAATGAAAGGTTAAGGTCCTATGTGTGGTTCAGAAAACGATTCAGGTTATGTGATCAATTCACACTTTTGTTCTTAATGATTAATAAACTGTAATTTGTAACAAATATGTTAAACTATAAATTACCTCATATGAAATTAGATTTTTTTTCCCGCTCTTTCTTTTCAATAGAACACTAGTATTTAATTGTGATCTTGTTGGTTGTCACTATTAGCTTTTCATAAAAGCAATAGCCTGATTTTTTACGGCTTTTTTATCAAGTAATATGGGCTATAGGGGATTTAACGGGAAAGCATTTAGGCAATAAGAAAATTGGTTCCAAGTTTATGTCTTGCCTACTTCCTGTTTTTCCTTCTTTCCATAATCATGAGGTGCATCTACAAGCAAGTTATAGCTAGTTCCAAATGCTGATGTTTGTGATGCCAACAGATGATGCAACCTGCTATAGGACTGGGTTTAGGCAGCCAAGCCCAGGAAATAGGAAAAGCATGCATGAGAAAATTCTTATAATCTAAGGTTAACCTTTTTCTTGTTTTTAATTTTTTATCTGTTTCACTCTCTCTTCCATCTCTATTGTTTTTCCCCCTCCCTTGTTCTCTACTTTCCATCTCTATTATATGTTCCTCCATGTCTTATCTTGCTCCTTGCTCTTGGGCATCTCAATTTTGGTTTTCATTGAGGATATTTTAAGGTGTTTGGTTGGCTTATTTGTTTTATTATCATTTTACAGAAAAAGAAAATCTATGAATGAGGCACCGGAGGAGGGGGGGTTGAGGGGTGGCAGAGTCTTTTGTAATACGAAACTAGATACGATAAACAAAATCTATAATGTCCACAAGTTCTCCAATACTTTGTGAGCATGGCGTAATAACCTTGAGGATTATATAATCATAAATGATAAATGCCTAGCTCTATTAAATTGGTTTACCAGCCATCAAAACTCTATTGTTCTCTCTCTCAAGAATAAAAACCCCTCTATTTTTCCTTTCTCTCCATATGGACCAAAAGATGGATAGTGTAATGAGCTCTAGACCCTCCCTTACTTTTATATAACATCCCTAACCAAGCTTTAATTTCATTCAGCAATGACCCGTCAACCATGTACTTCATGTGTATAAAACTTAAGGTTGTTTCCTAAAGTTGTCTCAACTAAGGACAACATAGAAGAGTTTATTTTTTTTGAAACAAAAGTATGAATATGTACTGATGCAAGGGTGCCAAGGGGCCACCACTTATGTACAAAAAATTTACATATCGATTAACATATCAACAATGAAATCTAGGTCCTCTAAACATTTAGTGTTGTGACCCAAAACAGTGGAGCCAAAATAGTGAGATCAATTGTCAATGATGGTACTAAAACCTACTTATTTCTCTTCAAAAGCACAGACAACATAGAAGAGTATGGATGGGGATATTTCAATCATTGGCACGAGAAACATCTGTTCAGGGGAAAATATATAAGTTATCCAAGTATTCATTTCCTACCAATATCCCATGCACAAAAAGCCACCTCAGAAGGTGCTCTACCCTTCCCAAGTTTAAACTCCAAATTTGCCTAGAACCCTGCTAGCCACCTTTAATACCCTTCCAATCGGTTGTATCATGAGACCTGCTACAAATCTTGGAATAACATCCACTCACCCAAATATTTTCTGGCTATAGCCACCTCTTCCATAAACCATTAGGGCTGGAGGAAAATTTCCATAACCATTTAGCGAGCAAGATTTTATTAAGGTCGGTGGTGGGCTTAACTGAATATCACCGTGGTTGAGGTGCAAACTAAGATTGTTCTAACCAACCAAGTGAAATTTTCTCGATTCTAAATCTATTACTTTTTGGAAGCTGAAAGTTCCCTCAAAGGTCAGTGTCTTTATTTGGACTGTTAGGATTAACGCTAATGATGTCCTCGACATTCCAAGAGAGCACTCTTTTTTTTTTTTGAGGAATGAGATGATGTGCTATAAGATGAATCTCAAATAGCTGAAGTGCCTCCCCTGTTGCTACTGTTCTCCTACATCCTTTTCCTCTCTTTTCACTTGCCATGGTTAATAAACCACTTCCCCCCTAGAGAATTTGAATAATGATTTACCCCATCAGTCTTCTCTGTATAAGTGTGCCCTTACACCTTACCATATAGGATATAACTTTGGTATGCTTATTTTTGGTATGAGAAAGAGTTAGGCTTATGGGAGTTTGCTTTTCTAGGTATAGGTGAAAAAGAATTTGTGTAAAATCTTTTCCCATTGCTAGGTCATGTCAGAAAGAATTTCACATGATTTCGTACATCAAAGAAAATGGAAAAAAGCTATCTGTAAATTGTAATATGAGATGCACTAACTTGTTTGAAATTCAGATCATAGGCAAATGCTATAAATTATATTCTTCTTGTCTTTTTTCAACAGTAATTTTTTCCTTAAATTTTAAGTTTTTAAGTATGATTTTATCCTCTTTGTGATTTTTTTAAACTTGTATTTCTGTTGCTGTTGCAGTTCGATGGTTCCTGGTTCAAGAAATCCTATGTGGGGAGAGGAGTTCAATTTTTCTGTAGATGAGCTTCCTGTTCAGGTTCTCATCATGGTTTATTTTTGTTATGGATTGGAATTTATTTCAGTTGAAAGGAAAACAATTATGGATATGATTTTATTGACTATTAACGTGTTGGAAGATATTGAGAAACAGATTTTTACTATATTTCCTTATTTAAAAACATCCCAACTTTTTGAATTATATTACTAAGTTAATTACTAATATCCTTATGTTGAATCATGGTTGCTTCATTACTATCATCTTCTTTGAATGGAAAAAGAAATGTCATTAAGGAGGAATGAAAAAAGTAAAAGGGGAAAAAATTACTTGGTTATCCATAATATAGGGTTTATGCTTGAGAAAATCTTGTTCTTTTACCTGGTCATCTATAAAATAATTGCTCTGTCTCTTCCCATCTCTCACGAAAGAAATAGGACTAACATTGTTGTTAAGACTGGAATGTTGGCAATATTTCATCAGATCTCACCAAACCTGCGGTAAGAGTTTGAACAGGCTGAATCTTTGACCTTTCTTAGCATGGCCAAACAAGATATGGTCTAGTGTAAGGAAGAATGTTGTGTTCTCTTGCATTGATGACTTCCTATGTTTTCTCTGCCTTGGGATTATGGTGCCAAACCTAATCCAAAAGATTCTCCCTTACATCACTTTTGAGGTTAAACCTGTTTAGCTCTTTTATTTTGAAATAAAAAAAGTGTAGTATGATTCATTCACAGGCACCAAAGGATGCAAACTCATGTACAAAATATTTACATGTCAATAATAATATCAATTAGGTACATCTAACTAGCTCTTTCACAAAAACTTTAAAACCTCCTAATTCTTTTAGCTACACCTATAGGCATCCTAAACAAATTTCAAGAGAATGGTAGAAAGACAAGGCCGGATAAGAGTACCCTTACCCCTAAGGAAACAAACTACATACCTAGCAATTGAGGAGTTTGCAACTTTACGCAATTGAAAAAGGCTTACCCCCAAGAAGAGTACCCAAACAGTTATGGATCAAAATAGAATGATACACCCAATTGACCAATCTGACTTCTCCTAATATCTCAATCCTCCAAGTTATCACCAACTACGCCACTCTTGCAAAAATTAGTGCATAACCTCGACAATACCTGCACTTGCAAGGTGATAACAAACATATTACTATATTGAGGCAAAAAAGAGGATAGTCTTATCAGCAAACTGTAGGTGGGGAACCTCCAACTTGTCATCGCCCCTGCCACCCCGTGCAACATAAATCCTCTCATAAAGCTTCTCTCCAAAGCCTGAGAGTATGAGATTACAAACATCCATCACATATGTGAAAATAGAGGAAAGGGTTTTCTCCCTCACCCTCCTTTACTCACAAAACCAAGTCGTAGGTTTTCTGTTAACAATAAAAATAAAGTAACTGAGGATAAGCAGCCTCTAATCCACCTCCTTCACCTAGCGCCCAAAATTGTTCCTAAACAAGATCTTGTCCAAAAACCTCTTCTCCTTTCTCAAAATTCAATTTAAAAACTGTACCTTTTCCTTTAGATCTTCTAACAAATTCCGAAAAAAGAAAGCTTGTACGAACACAATTTTCTTTGATTGGGAAGCTGCGTTTGGCAATGTCTTAACCATGGCAACTTGAGGAGAAGTGGAGGAATCCTAACATGTCCTTTGTGTCTTTATAAAAGTAAATCTCCCAACAATCTCCTCTGTCAATGTTCCATGGCTAGAAAGATGTGGGTTTTAATTCTCAATCTTCTTAATTTTTCTTGAATGGTTTTTGGATTGGTGGTCGTTGAGTTTGTGCTTGGATGGTACCAGAGTTAGAAAGGGAAAGTAGCTCCACTCTTAGTTATTCCTTTGGCTTGCCTTCGGGTGATTTGAAGAAAAGAGTAGTAGAATCTTTGATAGAGTTGATAGGATTTTTGGTATACAAGATTTTAGCCTGGTATTATATCAAAGTTACAAAGGTTGGGAAGTGTTTTTTTTTTTTTTCCTCGTTACTTTGGCTAGCCTGTGGGTGATTTGGAGGCAGTGAGTGGTGGAATATTTGAGAAATTTGATAGGATCTTTGCCATATGAGATTTTCGCTTGGGTTGATATTAGAGTTAGGAAAGCTGTGGAAGAAGCTTATTTCCCTCCTTCCTTTGGCAAGCCTTTGGGTGATCTGGAAAGGAAGGGATAGTAGAATCTATAGGGTTAGTTGATATAATTAGAGGTCATTGGTTCCTGACTTGTCTATTTTGTTTAAATGTTCAGTTTGTCCTATGTGAAGAAGATTTATGGAGCTTCAACCTTAAAGCTATTGTCTTCTTTTGAAAAGATATAAATTTCTTACATATATATTATTACTCTTATTTTTCTCTCAAAAAAAATCTTTGGACCACATATGTTTCTTTTCTATTTCCTGTTGCCTAGTGAAATTTGTGAAGGGCCTTCATACTGTCCAAATCTTTGTTAAAGATCAACAAATTCAAATTCTATTAGATGCCTGCGTAATTGAAAATTCTACATTATGGTCAAGCTGACTTCATAATGTGTTTGAGGTGAATTTTTATCATTGTGATGACATAAGGTGAAGTGAAGATTTCACAGGAGGTTTCTCTCGGTGTTGTGGTATCCTGTCAATTGTCTTATTTTGTTATTAAGTAATCACAAGCCTGCATAGTTGAAAATTCTACATTTGATCACCCTGATTTGGTCATTGTGTTTAGTGGTGAATGTTTGTCATTGTGATGACACGAGATGAATTTAAGATTTAATTGGAGGTGCCTCTAGTGTTGTGGTATTTTTGTTTGATTATTTCATTTTGATATTAAATTTGTTATATTTACGGGTATCTTTTCTCTTATTGCTTTAACAGATTAATGTGACAATTTATGATTGGGATATAATTTGGAAAAAGTGCTGTTCTTGGTTCTGTAACTGTTCCTATTGAAAATGAAGGTCAAACTGGTGCAGTATGGTATACTTTGGATAGCACATCACGGCAGGTAATTTTTCCTGTCTAACCCCATTTCCTATTTTTAATTTAATTTTACAGTCTCTTTTTACTATTTGCTTTAGGCCAATAAAGATCTGATACTCTTTCTCACGTTTGTCTCCACCTTAAAACGATAAAGCTTCCTGAGAATTCTTCTAGGTATAAAGATTTTGGGGATGTCTTTGATATCCTTACACATCTGTAAATTCCTTTGTATTCAGGCGGTACCCCTTTTAGTGCCATTCTAATTTTATTCTAACTTTTTCTTTAAAAAAAAAAAATTCTTCTGGGTAGTGGCTCAATTTGATAAGTTTTATTTAATTTTTATTTATTTTATTTATCCTTTATGTTAAACTGTCTTATGGACCACTTTATCTGTGTGCATTTGTGTGTGTGTGTGTGTATGTGTATATGGGTGTGTTTTTTTTTTCTTCTACTGAATAGGCAAAATCCGTATGTTAATCAAAATTATATTTCGCTATCAGGAAGAAAAGCAGTAGAAGTACCTTTTTTATGATTTTTATATTGCCATAGAATTTGGATGAAAGGTTTCTCTTGGTAGGGTTATGAATGGCTATGCTGGAGCTAATGCTAGAAGAAGGGTTTCTTTGGATAAGCAGGGGCCAACTGTGGTTCATCAAAAGCCAGGGCCTTTGCAAACAATATTTAATCTCCTTCCAGATGAGGCAAGTTGCAGATTCATTTCTTGTTAATATTGCTTTCTCTAGTCAAATTACTATGCATATCCTGAGTGATGTCTCTCGAAAAGGATGCTATAGTGATCAAGTAGAATGTCCTTTTAATTTCTTGAATACTTTCTGGTCGCAAGACTAACATATGAAGTCTCTGTTTTAGGTTGTTGAACATAGCTATTCATGTGCGCTTGAAAGATCATTCTTATATCATGGCCGTATGTATGTCTCAACATGGCACATATGCTTCCACTCGAATGTTTTCTCTAAGCAAATGAAGGTTAATGTTACATTTTCCTATGAAATTTACACTAGCTTCTGCCATTGTTATTTTTAAAACCCTATCTTTTTTGCCCCTGCATTGTATTTTTCTATATATTTAAACGAATGCTTCGGTTCAATTAATTAATGATGAATAAAAGTAAAACAGCAAGAGGATAGTGCTGTAAGAAATCACCTACAGTGTGGAGTTTTTTCCTGGTTGACAAACATGGGTAGGGGTTGAGGTGAAAAGTCAGTTGCTTTTAGGAGCATTCATCTTTCAAACCAAAAAACTAAACCGGATTTTGAAAAGTGTGAACGATGTAAAATAGATGTTTTGAAGCTATAATTTCTGTTTAACGAGGTGGATAATGTATTTTATTGATATTTTCCCTAATTTTGCATAATTAATTTGTCTATTTCATAACTTTTAGAATATTACTAAAGTATATTATTCAAAAACTTGAATTCTTTTTTTTTTTTTTGAAAAGAAAGAATAAAGAATTAAGATTAATGTGAAATAAATTAAAATGTATGTAAAAAAGATAGTACCTATGTGTCCAGTGGCACAAATGCCAAGAGAGGCTCTATGACTTGGGTTTGACTTTTGATTCCAACCATTACAAATGTCAATTAGTGCTTGTCCTTATTAAGGAGTATATTACTAGAAATGAGGCATGCTTATCCTGATTAGGAATAGTCTTTATGGAACCTGCCATTCTGTTATTTCTCTTTTCCTATTCTAGTTAGGTTTCCAAAAGAATGCACGCCATAGTGAAAAATTCTATGGGGGATTTTGACAAGCACAAAAAATTATCACCTGTTTTGCTTTAAATTCTATGAAGTAACCTCTGGCCCGTGGAGGGTTGGGTAGTAGATCAATATGTTATCTCAACAAAAACTTGCTTGCCAAATGGATTTGCAGATTTGTTCTATAGGGGTAGTCTATGGTGGAAGCTCATATGGGCCAAATATGATATTCATGAAGATGATTGGATGTTTGGGCTTAGTAGAGAAGCCTATGATTCTAGTCCATGGTGGGTTTAGTGTGATCGTATTTAGTTTAAAGTGGTGGACAAGTACTTGGTTAGCTTTTGATAGGATGTTTGCTTTACAGATTGTCCTTTGAACTTCTAGGTTACTAGTATTTTTGGCGTTGCTAGATTTAAAGATGATAGGATGAGGGACTGGGTGTGGAGCACAATGGTGCAACGGATTAGAACATCATCTTATTATGCACCTCAATGAGTGGGAGGTGGGGGAATCCAGTTTGGAAGCTTTCTGAAACTGGATTATTTACTGAAAGCTTATTACCTCTAGTCCTTGAGCTAGAGTATGGCAGCTTCGCTTGGAAACCTATTTTGGAAAAAGAAAGATATCACCGGGTTTGTTTGTTTGTTTGTTTTTTTTTTTGTTTTTGCTTGGAGACTTTGTGAGAAAGAATCCCCTTATCTTTAACAACTTGATGAAAAGAGGAAGTATTCTTGTCAACAGTTGTTTACTTTGTCTGAGGAAGGCAAATGCCCTGACTATCTATTTCTTTGATGTCCTAAGACCAAATTTCCTTTGGTGGCTGGCTGGCCAGTGGATGCTGGTGTGATGGCAGGCTATGAAGGTTGGCCTCCTTTATGGTACTTTTATTTCAGCAATGAAGGCCGAATAAAGTTTGTAAAAGAGTTTGGAATTTCTTAACCTAAAATTCTGATATTATGTTGAGAATAATTATGTTGTATTTTCATTGAATATTATATTCCTATATATATAAGTTTTAGGGGAAAAGAAAAGTTACAATTAATTACAACGGATTTATTTTATTCTAATACATTTTAGCCTAGTTTAATCCTATTTATATATAAAGTACATTTTTTAACAGGCGCATCTCAATGATTGTGACATAATGGATGACAAATATGCAATCATATTTATAATACTTAGTCATAGGCATGAGAAACTGATGGTATCTTTGTCTCTTCCTAATAATAATCTATCTTAATGTATATATATGTATGCATAGAAAATAAATTTCAAATGATTTGAGCTTGGAAACAGCCTGCTATTTATCAATAGGCGAGGGCAGACTGCTTTTGGCTCTTTTGCCTGTCTATTCTATTTTGGCTGGCTTGGAGACATTAGAGGAAGGTCATTATCTCTGTCCGGGTACAATCATAGCTTCATTCATTTGTTGAACCTTGGGGATAACCTTTAGCATTAAGGTCAATCACCACACCACCTCTATGATAACTTCTCTTTGTCCAGTTTCGTGTGTATTTTCTTTAAGGCCTATCCAGGCACAGCTGCTCTGGGGCATTCAATTCTTCTTTCTTTTGCTGCTGATCTCACATCAAGAGCAGCTCCTTCTCTCATGGTCATCGGATGAGAGATCTTCCTCCGACTCTGAGAAATCAGTCAAACACCTTAGCATTGACTCAATTGATATAACAGAATGCTACATTTACTATAGGAATCGATCAATCCCTGTTCTATGACATTCTTTGGATTATTTTTCAAGGTTATCCATAAAACATATACTTGACACATTAAATGTTGGAACATAGTTGGAAGGTGTATTGCAGGCCAGAGCCTTTGAAGTAGCAGTCATGCTACCCATCAGGTGAGGTGCATGCCTTGAGTTGATCCCTTTCTTCTGCAAACCAATAAAAAGAAATGCTGTTGACTAAGCTTAATGGTTTGCTTCTGGAAAAAGAAGGTTAACTATTATTAAGAAGAGAGGAGAAAAATTACAAAGATAGAAGAGATAAGTCATCCTTCTACAGGAAGAATAAACAGGAAAACCAAGAAACAAAAACAGAAAACAGAGAAGATTTAGCAAAGAATAGCCTCCCGGATCCTTTGCAAGCTAGATAATGGCATATTTCTAAAAAACCATGTGCCTTGCTGACAAAGAAGCCAAAAACACTATCCTATCCCAAATTAGATTAAAGAAATGGGCACGTTAATTGAAAATTCTGGTGTTGGAGTTTATGAGAAAAAACCTATGTTTGAGCTTAATGCTTAATTAATCATATCTTGCTAAATACATCACTATTATTTCTTATTTTATAAATTACTTATTTCAGTGTTGTATGACTTACATATGACAGGTTGTTATTCCATTTGGAGATATAGATGAGGTATTCTCTTTCTTTATTTTTGAAGGTATCTCCTTGAAGATATATTCTTGGCTTGGATAGTATCAAATGCTTATATGGAATGGAATTGTGAGTCATACAGATACGTAGGAGTCAACATGCATTCATCAATCCTGCCATAACAATCATTCTTCGGATGGGTGCTGGTGGGCATGGTGTACCTCCACTTGGAAGTCCAGATGGTTAGTGGCTAACTGCAATTTTTGAAATATTTATTAGTTAAATTGTTTAATGCACTGCAGTCTTGCATGCTTAACATTTTCATTTTTTAAAAATGATTGCTCACTTGTTTTTAAAATTTTAGCCATTAAATTTATTTACTTAACTATCTCATTTTGCATTCCTTATGGAAGACTGCTCTTGTTATATGTTTGCTTCATATTTGACATGGAAGAATCATTGCCCACCTCTCTTAAAGTTCACAGATTGAGTTGATCGTAGTCAAGGTTTTATATTCGCAAACTTGGTATAGCTTCTTTATGACTATAATTTCATCAATCTGTAGCTTCTTCCAAGTAGCCGAATTTTCTGACTCCCTTTTTTTTTGGATGAGAAAATAAGTATCGTTAATAGAGAGAAAAGAAAAATGTATAAGTGAAGAGAGTAAAACATCCTTTGAGGACTCCAAGAAGGACAAGAGCAAAAGATAAACAAAGGAGAAAAATTCAACGCAAAACAGCTTTCCAATCCCTTCTAACAAGGTCAAAGGAGACATCTCTTTAACACACACAAGCCTTGATATAGAAAGAAGCAAAGAAAGTCATTCTGTCCCAAAGAATAGAGGAGCAAGGTAATGACCCTTTAAGATTCTAGAATTATGCTCTAACCACAAGACCCAATAAAAAGGGCATATCTCCAGTGTATACTAGCTTCCTACCCAACTCCCATAAGGGACAAATTCATAAATGGTCAACAGAGGGGGGGTGGAGGATGAATGATGCAATTATATCAAAAGGCCTAGTCCAAAGTTCTCTAGCTAAATCACAATAAAGGAAAATGTGATAAAGGAATTTAGCACACTCTTAAACCACATAATATACACATTTGAGGAGACAACAAGATTGAGCTTGCAAGCTTGTAACCAGCGATTTGTGTTAAGCCTGCTGGCAAAAACGTTCATCATGGAGAGAGTTTTACATTTCAAAGAGCATAGGTGAAAGTCTCGTCATTGTGACAACTAGGTTTTGGAGTAATATAGTTAAGAGATGACTTGTAGAATAAACATTTGAGGAGTTCAATGTCCAATTTTTGTTAAGTTGGGAAGAAACACTATTAGGCCCAAGGATATTAAGAAAGGAAAGCATATAATTGCCCTAATAATTTTTAAGGTTTTGTTTTCAAAGACATATCCACAAGCAATGAATAATAAAGGTTAGATAGATCAGCAATCTAATTATCTTTCAAGAATAAAATGCAAGATTAATTTATTTAATAATAATAATAATAATAAAATGCAAGATTCATCCCTTACTCTCAAACAAGTGAGAGGGATGAAAAGGTCATAAATTCTAGAGCTTCCTGTGAGTTGCGTACTCCTAGCTTTAGAATCTCACCCACTCCTTTCTATTTAATTTGTAACCAACTTATGCCACAAAGAGAAAGATTATCGGTACATTTTTATATTTGTACAATAAAGACAAATTTCTAGGCACCAAGTTCCCAACTCCCATGCCACTTACTTTTTAGAAAGATAGCATACTTCCCATCTATATTTCAAAAAAACAAACATACTTCCCATCTAACTAAATGATCTCTCAAGGCCTCACTTTTCTTCTCATAATCATCTCAGTTTTCTTAACCACTCTTCTAAGTTTCTAAACAAAGAGAGAGACTGCAAAGGAGTATTCAATAAAGAGGCTTGAATAAGAGTAACCTGACCAACCAAGTAGCGAAAACAACTCACCCTTCCAACAATCAGTCTGTCTAGAGATGCTACATGGCCTTTTTGATTACCCCCTAAAGGAATACCTAAATTAGTGATATGCCTATTACACTTGTTTGACTCAACAACAGTTTAATAACTTCGTCTTCAACATTTATCCCCAGAAGGCCATTCTTATTAAGGCTTTGGGTTTCGCAGGAGAGGAACATTGGGAAGGTTTTGGAGACATGAGACTACCAAACTGATTTAGAATGGGAGTGTTCTAGAACGGATCCATCTCAATATTGGAATATTGGAGGATATTTACCTTGTTTAGGAATAGCTTTAGTACTATATTAGGAATTTTTCTTCTTACTTAGTTAGAAATCTTTTTTTGTTATTGTTTTCATATTTAAGAATTCTAGCCATATGAGGCTATGCAAACACACTATAAATACATGAATTATTGATCTTATTTAATAGATTTTCTATCAATAAAATATATTGATACTCTTTGAATTTAATGTAGCACAACCCTGTAATTGTGGTTGTGACCATCCTGTGATTCTAGTAGCTGCCAATCCTTGTGATTGTAGATTTAATTTATCGTGTATATATATATATATATATATATATATGTATTATAATTTTGATGAATGGGAAACCTAGTTCTTGGTTTTGGAAGCAAAGGTTTTGGATAAGTGGTCCTCTTTCCCCATTTCCCTTCACAATTAAGGCAGATGCTCTGAGCCATATGTTATCTCTTGGTACAAAGGGAAGTCTGATTGAGGGCCTTATGGGTGGCGTGGTAGGGTGAACGCTTCTCATCTCTACTTTGCTGATGGTACGATGCTTTGATGTTTTTACCATGTGAAGTTTTATGATGCAGTCAAATGATATCAGGTCTATGTATTAACCTTTGGGAAGAACAATTATAGAGGAAGTAAGGGACTTGTGGCAACACAGGATTGATTCAAGGTGGGAGGGATACAAATTTATGAAGAAACAGAAGCACCTGAAAGAAAGTTTGAAAGATTGGAACAAGGAGGTGCTTGGAAATGTTGGATAATCAAAGAAACATGTACTTGAAGAGACAGGAGATTTAGAAAAATTGGGGGCAGAGGCAGCAGAAGAGATGTTGATTATAGAAGAAAGAAGTTGGCGACAAAAAGCGAAGATTAAGTGGATCAAAGAAGGAGATGCTAATATTGGATTATTTCATAGAGTTGTGATCGCCAAGAAAAAGAAAAAATGCCATTAAAGAGATTGAACTTGGACATGGGGGGATGGAAAGGAGGTAAAAAATTTAGCAAGGAGAATTACTCAATACTACAAGAGTCTGTATGCTAAAGAGGATTATTCTCGTCCGTTCCTCGAAGGAATAGATTGGTCCTCATTTGGAGCGAAGAAAGGGGGTGGATGGAAAGACTTTTTGAATTGGAGCAAATTAGAAGGGCGTTTTGGGACCTAGGTAATAATAAAACTCCTGGGCTGGACTGATTCATGATTGGGTTCTTTAAGGTTTGTTGGGACATTGTCAAAGCAGACTCACTTAAGCATTTGAGGAATTCTACTTGAATGGTTCAATTTGCAAAAGCAAGAACTCCACTTTCATCACCCTAGTTCAAAGAAGGAAAGAAAGAAGTCTATGAATGTTTCAAAATTTTGCCCAATCAGTCTGGTGACTAATGTCTATAAAATTATGGCAAAATTTCTTTCCTTTTAGCTAAGTGAAATTTTGGATGATACTATCTCCATCTAACCGGTTAGCCTTTATAGGTGATAGACAAATCCATGATGCACTTTTGGTGGCCAATGAGGTGGTCGAGTACACACCTGCATTGCATGTGAAGGGTGTGGTGCTAAAATTAGACTTTGAGAAAACATATGATCGAGTCAAGTAAAAGTTCCTAGATTGGTTAATGGAGCGAAAGTGATTTGACAATAGGTGGAGACAATGGATTCGAGGTTGTTTATCCTCTTGCTTACTTGCAATGATTGTTAATAGAAAGCCTAGGTATTGGTTTAGAGCCTCAAGAGCTTCTTAGGCATGGCAACTCTCTCTTGCCTTTCCTCTTCATCCTGATTGTGGATATAATGAGTAGGATGTTGTCTATGGCTATAGAAAGAAACTTGGTGAAGGGGCTAAGAGTGGGAGAGCAACATGTTGAGGCATCCCGCCTACAATTTCCAGATTGTAGGATTTTGTTTTTGGAAAATGAAAATAGATCCATATTCTCTTAACTTGGTGATGGGGCTAAGAGTGGGAGAACAACATGTTGAGGCATCCCGCCTACAATTTCCAGATTGTAGGATTTTGTTCTTGGAAAATGAAAATAGATCCATATTCTCTTATCTATGTGTTTGAACATATCTCAGGACTTGAAATTAATTTGGTTAAAAGTGGACTAATTAGAATTAACATGGGTGAGGATACAATAACCTTCTTTTAGAATCAATAGTTTGTACAAAGCTATCATGGCCCATCACTTACTTTTTTTTTTTTTTTTGAAATAAAAGAGATAAAATATATTCACAAAGGTACTAAGGGGGTACCACCCAAATACAAGCCCGTCACTTACATCCAAGGAGTAGGTATGTTCGGGGATGGTTGGATAATAAGGTGGGTAGGCGTCTCCAAAGCTAGAAGGGTTGTCTTTTCTCTTTAGGGGAGAGAATAACCTTAATTAACACTTTCCTATCTAGCTTACCACTCTATTATCTATTCTTTTTAAGATCCTTACCGGGTAGCTGAGAGGATTAGGGGTAGAATGAGAAACTTCCTATTGACTGGAGTTGGTTAGGAGCAGAGAGATCATTTATTTAAGTGGAGAGATCTGTTGTCAGCCCAAATGTTCAAGGGGCTTTGGTAGTGGAGATCTCAAGTTAAAGAACTTATCTCTAATAACAAAATGGCTATGATGCTTTCCTCTTGATCATACTCTTTATGGCATAAGATAATATACAACATTCATGGAAGTGGTAGGTCCGGGTGGGATGTCCCAACTTGTGTTTCACAGATAACACTTTAGCCGAAACCTTTCTGATAAGGAGACTTCTTATCTGTTAGTGTTACTCAACATGCTAGAACTCATACACATAACCTCCCAGTCGAGGTTTCTTGAGCCTTTGGGTCTGTTTACATGCAAGTCTTTCTTCACTTATCTCACCAATAAACCCAGTGCTACTCATTTTCATACTGCATAGGTTTTTCTGGATGCCAAAACTTATTTGATGATTAAGGTACTATCAGCCAGAAGCTCAACACTAATGACATGCTTCAAAGTTATGCCCCCCACTGTGTTTTGTCTCTTGAAGTGTGATGTTTTGTGCTTCAGAGTGTTTCTACATTGCACTATATGGAAGTCATGGCTGGTCCGATGAACAATTCTGGACTTAATTGGGCGGTGTCTCCTACAGTTGATAGCTTCATGAATCCTTGTATTCAGGGGATTGAGGTGAGCAAGGAGGCTAAAGTACTATGGCATGGTGCGATTTTTGCTGGTTTTGGTGTATCTGACTGGTTAGGAATTGTGAGATTTTCAACAATTGGGCAATATCAATCTACGAGCTAACCAAGAAGGTCACGTTCTTGTCTTCCTTTTGGGCAAAAGCCTGCTGACATTTCCCGAACATGAGTATATTAGAGCTCTCGTAATTGGGGATGCTATTATAGACAAGGATTAGGAGAAGGTTTTCTGGTTTACTTGTTTTGATTTCTCTTTCATTTGTGTGTTTTTTTTTTAAGGATGATGGCTTATTCTCTGTTCTTGTAATCTTTCTCTCTCGTCAATAATAAAGCTTCTTCTTTTACCCAAAAAAAAAAAACTTTAGGAAGAATAGTCTTATGGGCGTGGGCTTTCCGAGACCATTTTGACAAACTAAACCGAATCAAGGGAATAGGAGTCAGCCACGGAAGACTTCACCAAATCTCCAGGTATATTATCTCCAATCAGCCAAGGTGCTTAGCATAGGAGGCTTCTTCCCATCTCTATCGAAAGAGAGAGCAATCGTCACATCTGCGCTAGGTAGCTCTAAAGCTTACCTTCAACCTTGATCCACTACTTTTTTTCTTTTATATATGATTGCACTGGCAATCAAAGAAAGCAGCAAAACCAACCTTGCCCAAGCGGATTTGGCTAAACAAGAGAGAAAGGCCTTCTGTTAGAGGGTTGGCTGAGTTGACAAAGTGCAATCTTTTAGAGTGGCCTATCACTTATCTAGGTGCCCCTCTGGGTGTTAATCCTCGGGTAGCTCTTCTTTGGATACAATGGTGCGTAGGATTTCTAAGCATCTTCAGTCTTGGAAATTTGTTTGATGTTATATGAGATCTACCGTCTATGTATTAAGTATTAAACTTAGAAGAAGCTGTCTTGTGGGTATCAATATGGAGGAGCAGACATTTAGAGGGTTGGCTAAGTCGGTAGGCTGCAACCATTTAGGATAGCCTATCACTTTCTAGATGTCCCTCTTTTACAACAATCCATTACTTTCTAGGTTTTCCTCTGGGGGTTAATCCTCAAATAACTTCTCTTTTGGATCAAGTGGTCCATAGGATCTCTAAGCCTCTGGAGTGTTGGAAATGTGCTCTTTTTCCCTTTGTGGCAAGGTCACTCATATTCATGTGAATATGAGAGGAACCATTGCATCAGGTGGGAGGTTTGTTTTTTGCTTAAGAAGATGGGACTTGCACATTCAGAACTTTTTTTTTATAAAAAAAAGCATGTCCTTATGAGTAAAATGGTTATGGTGTTTTTCTTTTCAACCCAACTAGTGGTATAGGGCGATTAATAGTAAGCTCGGCTTGTATCAAAATGGTAGGAACTTCAGATCAGTGTTTTGACTTTTTCTTACAGGAGCCCCTGGAAAGCTATTTGTACTCTTTATGCTTCCTGTCTTCCCTTACCCAAATTGAGAATGGGGATGGTTAATGTATCTTTTATGGAAAAATTCTTGGATTGATAATGTTTCATTTGTCATTCGTTTCCCTCACTTGGACAACCTGTCACAGAGTCACAGTACTCTTATCTCCTCATCTTGTGATTAGTCAATTGGTCACTGCTCATGCAATATGTTTTTTGAGAAATATTAATGATCACGAAGTTGTTGATAAGAATTCCTTGATTCAACAACTTGATTTTGTTGTCTTCTAGTCCTGCATTGCTGGTATTTCTTTTCTTTATTAAATAATATTTCTTTCCCTATTAAAAATACCTGCTGCTAGATGATATCAATGTGCATTAATACTTGTGTGCATGCACCTATATGTGGATTCATGCATCTAGAAAATGCTATTATTGTTACTGATGATTCTTTATTGTTGCTGATGATTTATTATTGTTACTGATGATGCATTATTATTATTACTGAAATTGAATTAATTTCCAATACATAAATATGTTTGCTGTAATTATATTATTATGTAATTTTTTTTTTACTTTCATTAAGCTCATACAGTCACATATTTAAGCTTTTAATATAAAATCGATCTTAGCCTAATAGAATCTATTCCTTTCCAAGACTGATGAGTATGTAGCCTTTTTTTTACTGTTAGGACCACTATTCCTCTTGAAGTGGTTGTTTTCTTTCTAAAGCTTGGTTATGGTATGCTTTATATTGCCTTTATCTTTCTTTGCCATTTTCAGGTAGAGTCAGGTATAAATTTGCATCATTTTGGAACAGGAATCATGCACTAAGAGCTTTGCAACGGACAGCAAAGACCTACCGTGCATTATTAGAAGCTGAGAAGAAGGTCAATCACTTGTGTACCACAAATTGTTCTTTTTTTATTTTTGACAGTCTTCTTTGCTTGATCATAAACTGCTTAAAGTGATGCCATGATTACATTTTGTAGGGATGCAAAAAATTTATCCTTTTCTTTTTTCTCTGGCAAAGTAATAATACTTATCCTTGAGCAGCTGCAAAACAACAATTACACTTGTGGTCACCAACAATTTCATGAGCTTATCTACATGGACTTGAAATAATTTATCATTGGTGTTAACTCATTCATACAGCACAGATTTTCTCTCATTTACTAGCTAAATTTACAGGGTTGGACTAGGAGGTATTTTTTTCCTGTCTTATTCTAATTTTGTCCGGCCTAAAAATGAAAAACAGAAAAATAAGATTGAAAGGTAATAAATGTGAAATTTTAAACAGAAATTGTTTAATTAATTTAGAAGAATATTATAATGTATATTACTCTTTTTTGGTATTATTATTGTCTCCTTTTCAAGGAAAAAAAAAGAGAAAAAAAAAAGGCAAAGAAGGAAAAAGAGAAAATGAAATGACAAAAGTGAGGCCTTTAAAACATTAGCCTTTTTAATCCATTACCCTTTAATCCATCAACCCAAAAAATCCCAAAAACCCAAATTCATTAACTCAAAAATCCCATAAATCAGATCCACTAACCCACTTAACCCATTACAAACCTTATCAACCCTTGAAACCAACTCCAAACACATTTAAACCACTCTCCCACAAAAGGCCAACCTAACTTTCTCAATTCTCTAAACCATTCTCCCATTACAAATCTTTCTGCCCTTTTAAATAGCAATAATGATTTTGTGTAATCTCTTTGGGGTTTCTGTACATCGCGGTTGCAACATTCTAATACATCTACAAGGCTTGTAGATTGGTATAAGTTTATTCTGCTATTATACATTTTATTGTAATTGTTCAGTTGTGGAAAGCAATTATAGAAATGAGAAAAAAGGTTCTGATTTTGCTTTTTCTTGGCAATTGTATAGGCACAATTTTTTCTTTTTTCATATGTTGTGATAAGGTGTTTAGAAAACTAATAGTTTTAGAGCTCTCTCCTAAAAACAAATAAAGAACATATCCAACAGAATTTTCTTCTTGGCAGTTGTATAGGCACAATTTTTTCTTTTTCATGTGTTGTGATAAGGGTTTTAGACAACTAGTAGTTGTAGAGCTTTGCTGTCTAGGTAGCAAGAATTCATGTCTTAAGTTTTAGCGGAAAAGCTCAGATTATATTTTGTTTTCTTTTTTTTGGTGGAAAGAAAAAAATTTTATTTGATATGTTCTTTATTTGTTATAGGAGAGAGCAGAATCAGCATTGCGTGCACATAGCAGCTCTACAAGAGGTAGTGAAAAACAAGCCAAGATTCCTGAAGATGGTGCGTCCAAAACTGAAAGACTTCAACCTTTCATCAAAGAGGAGGTTCTTACTGTTATCTATAATGTATGCATCCCCTTTTTCCTTCTCTTTTATGATTTTTTTTCCTTGTCTTATTTTACCATTTTAGTTCTTTGGCATTTGTTGCAGGATGTTTTTCCATGCACTGCTGAGCAGTTCTTTAATATATTGCTGAAGGATGGTTCTAGTTTTACAAATGAATATCGATTGGCACGGAAGGATAGTAACCTAATTGTAAGTCTGAGGTTATTCTCAATGATAGCTCTCCTACAGTCATACTAATTTATGGGGGATAATTGTACAATAACACTAAGAAGAGGATAAACTCTGCCATTTGATTTATGGTGCATTTGGTTAGCAAATGGAACAAAGGTGGAGTTGGAAAAGAGCAGCTATTTTATAGAAGTAAAATAAGATTGCAACAATTATAATTGATCATATTGTTTGCTTGGGAAGTTTAAATAAGAGTTACCTTGTTTGGCTAGTTGGTAAGAATGGGAGTGAAAGAGGATTGTTAAACATTAATATTATTTATAATTTTTATTCAAAATTAAAATACAAACAGAAATTAGAAATACAATTATTTAATATTCTAAGAAGTTGCATAATTGACTAAAAAATATTTAAAATAAAATAAAATAAGATAAAAATACTGGGCTTTATCTTCCCTGATTCAGTCGCCAAAACAGAAATGAATGAAGGTCTCCAATTTTCAGTTTGTCAGCATTCTTATAATGACGTGTGTTCCTTTGTTATTCCAAAGTCTGTTGCAGACAGAGAAATCTGTAACATATTGGACTTTAAAACAGCAAAGAAAGATGGTTAGCCTGAGTTGGGGGCTATTGTGTCCCAGAATGACTTTGTATTATGGACCCATCTATGATGGTTTAGAAGTGCAGAAACATTAATGAAACTACCACCATTGTAAAGCCGTCCAATCAAATAAACCACTTTTGAAATCCTTGAGTATTGATTGTAAAGAAAATACTTTTCTATTAATTGAATTTGCTAGTTCTTTTCAGTTTAAGTATGAATACAACTGTAGATTATTTGGTTGGAATCAGAGGCATTTGATGTAGACTGCAGTAAGCATAAATCTTACACTTAATATTGATGGGTATGTTGGCCAAAGATGATTATTGATGGCAAAGGTTAGGTGGGTAGAGTTTTAACAAAGAAATTAATGCTTAATATTTTGTTATTTTCAGATGGGACAATGGCATGCTGCAGATGAATATGATGGTCAAGTAAGAGAGATAAAATTCCGATCACTTTGCAACAGTCCTATGTGTCCTCCAGACACAGCAATGACTGAATGGCAGCATTCTGTTCTATCAGTAGATAAGAAAAAACTTGTTTGTCACATCCCTTTCCTTCTTTCTAATGATAGTGATAACAATAACTTGCTTATACCCTATTGATTAATCTTAGTGATGTCTTTTCCTAGGTTTTTGAGACCGTGCAACAAGCGCATGATGTTCCATTTGGGTCATACTTTGAGGTATGCAATAGTAAGATTTAGTGTTGCAGGTTAAATATTTTTTTTGGGCAATAGTCGTGTTTAGCTTTTGCATCTCAGAAAATCTTTGAAGTTATTGCTCGAGTTTTTTCAAGCTCTCTCCTAGAAGGTCAAATTCATATCTTCCTCTATCATTTGTAAGGTTAAGATGGTTCTCCACATTAATTTCATAACTGATTTGATCTTTCTTTCACTTAAAATCCCAGAATTTTGTTTTGCTTTGTCCATTGTGGGTCAATATCTCAGTTTCATGTGTTTCTACATTAAATTAATCAGGTAGTTTCCCTTTAGTTTGTCAGACAAGCCAAAAATTAATTGATTGGTTCAATGATGGTTTGGAAGTTCAGAAAAAGAAAAAAAAACTGGTATAACTCCATGATAGATCTAGTTCTACATTCAATTGAATTTTATGTTGTGGTCAATTATTAGACAAGTTTCTCAAAAAAAGAAAATATTAAACTTTTTCTGGGTGCAGCTTTGCACGTATGAAGATGAGTTCATATATAGAACTAACCTTCTTCATGTTGGTCATCTTTCTTGCCATCCCTATCTGCTTGTGTGCATTTCCGCCCTATTTCGAAAGGAAACTTGAAAAGTGAACACTCTTTCACCTTTTTTTTTAAAATAAAAATATGGTCTGTATCATTAAGATTTCAAGATGTCAAGATGTCAATTCATTTATATATCAAGATGTCAATAAGATTTCTAAAATCCCCCATAAATTACAGGTCACCTATAACAAAAAGAACTCAAGGTCTGAAACCATCTATCTCTAACTCTATCAAAATCAATCTTCCATGCCCTCGAAACTCTCTTATGTTTCTTTTTTTCCATACCACTCAAAATATAGTAAGGAGAATGAGTCTCGCATGTCTCTTCTCCCATTAATACCCTTTCACCGTACATCTCGTTGCTTATTGTACCAGTCATTACCCAATTAAACCTCAGCCTGGATCATGGTTCGTAAGTTGTATGCAAGTGCGCACCAAAACAGAATATGGTTACAAGACTCCTCTGCCATTCTGCATAGAAACCGATCATTGACAATAGTCTTTTCCCTTCTCATTAACTTGTCAATAATCTTTTCCCTTCTCATTCTGCATAGAAAATCAGCAGTGAGCAAGAGTTTCTATGACTGCATCTGCTGGCAGCTGGGCAATGGCACTGAAATCATAGGGAACTTGTCTTTCAATTTGAAATTACCAGCCGATTCATCCTTCCAGAAATTGAAAGACAAGTTCCCTATGATTTATGAGATTGCTAATGAAAGGGACATCCTTGTGGAGAAGGTTTATGAGAAGGGGAAGGGGGGTGTGGGTGGTGTATTCAAGTCAGGAGAAACTTGAAGGATGAAGAAGAGGAAGAATACTGTAATCTGCTTCGTTGTCTTGCTGTTATTAAGGTAGAAAATCAGAAAGATAAAAGAATCTGGAAACTGGACAAGAAAAGAGGCTTTTCTTGGAAAATCTACTACAATTATATTGTTAAAAATGAAGATGAAAATGTCATGGCAGCACCTTTCAAGCAAATCTTGAGGTCAAAGGCTTCTCCTAGAATAACTTTCTTCACTTGGGAAGCTGTTAAAGAAAAAATCTTGACCATTTATATGTTGAGAATAAGAAGAAATATGATGATTAATAGGTGTTATATGTGCAAAGCTGATGAAGAATCATGTAATCACTTGTTACTTTGGTGTCCAATGGTGTACAAAATTTGAGAGTATGTGTTTGGGATTATGGGAATGAACTGGGTTATGGCGGGTAGTGTTAGCAAGGAGTTGTGGGCGTGGGTTGGTTTACGTAAAAAGAAAAAACAATTATTCCTTATTTCGATTTTCCTTTTTTGGGATGTGTGGAGGGAGAGGAATGCAAGGACTTTTTTAAGGAAATTGAAACTGACATTGTAAACATTAGAAGTAGATGGTTTCATACTTTTTGTTCTATTTTGTTAGATCATGACATATTAAATTGGAAAGATATTAAAACTGTCGTGGACTACTTGATCGACTTGTAATTATTTTATTTTCGGGTGGTACCCCCTTGATACCTTTGTCATAATAATACTCTATCTTTTATCTCAAAACTAACTTGTCAATAGTAAGAATATATTAATGTCCTTCTTCCCAAGCATAGAAAGCAACTCTTGGAGGAGCATTCACATTTTAGATTTGCTTAAAAGGAAAACTAGTCTCTATGGAGTCATTCTTGGCTAAGTAGTTATAGAAAAACCTAACCATGAATGTTTCTACTGAGTTGAGGCTCCAAACCGATTGGTCATTACTCTCATTCAAAGATACAGAAGATAATGGGCTCAAGAGAGTCTCATACTCATTTATTTATCAGTCATTAAAGTTTCTCATCACCTCCATATGTCATTCCCTTTCCCCTCAAATGTCTCTGAATGACTCATGGACTGAGATATTCTTATACCGTGAAATAGCAAAAATCTGTAGAAACTTATCTCTGAATGCCCCCATGTTGTCAAGAGTCTATCCAAAAGCTAATTCTCTCTCTATGCCGACTTTTCATCTTATGCATTCCTGAAATTTACCTCTTCCTATACATATTTTTTTCACACTCCATTTCCATGCAGTCTTGGCAATATTCTGGAATTCCTGTACTACCACCTTTGCCACACATCCAAACACCATTACCACAAGAAAACCTTCAGAATCCACTAAAAAATTCATTTACTTTAGAGATTATATTAGATCGTAGGTTTTCTCTGGTGTATATAAGGAGGAAAATGTCGAGTACTAAACTTAAACCAGTCCAAGAATTAGATCTTGATCTTGGAACTGAGGTAAATCCCAAACAATCTATACAGTTTGATAATAATATGTTTATTGCACTGCATAAAGGTACAAGAGCATGCATTAAATATCATTTTTATCTTATCTCTCAGTTTGTAATTTAATAAGTGTTTACTATCTTATAAATTTTTTTTCACAAGTTTGAATACTGAATCTATTCTTAATACAATATTTGAAACATTATCTTGTGAAGAATTGAAGAATGCTATGGATATAGAAATACAGATGATTGAAAAGAACTACGCTGAAGAAATTATGGATCTACCCAAAGTCAAGAAAGTGGTGAGATGCAAATGAGTTTTCTCAATCAAATATAAAGTAGATGGAACAATCAAGAAATATGAAGCGAACATATACATAGATATTTCACTAGGTTTTAACTAAAAACACATATCAAATATACTTCCAAGAGATATTCACACCGGTAGTTAAGATGCACACAGTGTGATTCTTGTTATAGTTGTCCATTTTGACTGATAATTACAAAAATTTGATGTAAAAAATATCTTCCTGCATAGAGATTTAGAAGAAAAAATATACATACATATTTCACTAGGCTTTAATGGAGAAGCAGGATCAAATAACATTTATAAATTAAAGAAAGTACTATATGAACTCAAAAAGTCACCAATAGCATGGTTTGACAGGTTTACAAAGGTAATGATAGATTTTGGACTCAAGTAGATTCAATATGGTCACACTTTATTATCAAATACTAAGAGACAAGATAAGTTACAACTCTCCTACTATACATTGATGACATTATCATATGAGGAAATGATAAAGAGGAACAAGTAACACTAAAAAAGTGTTTGGTATAAGAATTTGAAATCAAGAAATTAAGTAACTTGAAGCATTTTCTAAGAATTGAAATTGCACGTTTTAAATTTGAGGTTTTTATTTCTCAATAGAAATACATTAATGACTTATTAAAAACATTAGAAAGTTGGCATGCAAACCAGTTAGCACTCTTGTTGATCGTAATAACAAATTATGAATAGCAGAGTAAGACACACCAGTAAACAAGAAAATATATCAGAGATTAGATGGGAGATTGATATATCTGTTTCACACGAGATCATATATCATATATGTAGTAAGTATTATAAGTCAATTCATGCACAATTAAAAAGAATGCACCTACAAGCATCATACAAAATACTGCAATACTTATAAAGGTCATAAAGAAAAAGAATTATGTTTAGAAGAAATGACAAATTGCTCCTAAAAATCTATACTAATATAAATTATGCAGAGTCAACTGTAGAGAAAATATCTATTATAGGCTACTATACCTTACTTAAGGGCTAGTCACTAGGAGAAGTAAGAAACAAAATGCAATTAAGTGCAAAATTAGAATTTCAAAAGTAGCACAAAAAGTATGTGAACTACATAGGATAAAAAGAATTTTGGAAGATTTTAAAATCAAGTGGAAAGCCCTATATGCTTCTATTGTGACAACAAGTCGGTCATAAGCATCATTCACAATCCGGTGAAACACGACTGAACCAAATGCATTAAAATTGGCAGATATTTTATGATAGAAAAATTTAACAATAGCATAATATATGCCTCATACATGTTCACAAATTCTCAACTGGCAGATATGTTAACTAAAAGTGTAAGCAATCTAGCATTTCAAACTCTTATTGGTAAGTTAATGATAGAAAATATCTACTCCTCGGCTCGAGAGGGAGCGTTAAAAAGATGATAAATTAGATTAGAGGGTATAAGACTAAAATACATCATTTGTAATCAATTTTTTATTTCCTTTTTTGTCTTGGAAAATCTGTATATATAGGGTTATAGTATTCAATAAAATATAACATCAAACCATTTTTAATATGAACCACGATTGGACATCATTTTCAAGGTGGAAAGAGGCTAAGCCTACCTTGTCTTCTTTGGCTGTCCTTTGGTATTGAAAGAAGTGCTCGCACTTGTTAATCCACCCCAACAGATCAGCTGAGCCATCATAATCTAGGAAAGTCTAACATTGTGAATCTTGACACCATACTTATGCTTTTTGTATTGTTGTTGGAGTCAGCTAGCTTCGTCTATTCTTTTTGTTGAGCTAGTGATGTTGACAGCCTCCCTCCTTATAGCCAATAATTCCCTAGATAAGCTTTCAACTTGAGCAGCAAGCTTGCACTGCCCCTCTTCTGAGTAGGTACGATCTTCTTGGCATTGCTTCATGAACATCTCAAATTGTTAGAAACTTATGAAGTCCTCCATGACCACCGCCTCTAATACCAATTTGATAGGGTCTCGAGCTTTGGATTTGGTCACAAGGCCCACTAGTGTGGAAATTTTAGGCCTTGTTGGCCTATAGTGAGGTTCATTTAAGAGAATCTCCAATATTTTAGAGAGAAACTCTTTGGATTAATTGCTTTATTACTTTATTTATATAATAGATGTATTTGTATAAAAGCTAATTGAATTAGATCCTTATTACAATTTTAGGAATCATAGTACTAGTTTTATCGTAAGTTCTAATCTAAATAAATTATAGTTCTAGGAATCCTAATTTTAGTTTTATTCCAATTTCTTAATCTAAATAATTATTATAAATCTTTAAAGAATTATAACTCATATTAGTTCCTTAAAGAAACCAACTTTCTACTAAATTCAAACTTCTTCCTTTGCTGCTTCCATTGGTCCCACACCCTATTATTTTCTGTATTATAACATCGTGTTTTATTTTGGGATGATACATGGATGGGATTGCCCTTTGGCTTTGTATTCTCCTCATCAATCTAATCTTTCTTCTTATTACAATGTCCCGGTTAACAACTTTATCATGAATCTTTCTAAGATACGACACTCCTGGGATATGCACTTCTTCTATAACCTCAACGACCGGGGATCTAATAGAGCATATTATCCTTGATTCATTTAGTTAGACCTTGTTTCTTTTCAAGCGCAAGCAGATCATAGAATATGGAATCTTGATCCATCAGGTTCCTAGACGTGAATGCCTTTTTTCAGTTATTTTATCCTTAACATAAATCGCCAACCTGGTTTCCAAACTAGCCTTTTCTAGAAAGTTAAGATATTCCATTTGTGGCGAAGTGTGGACAGATGCTTGGAATAAATGATTTGTCGGAAACTTGAGACCTAATTTCCTTCTTTCTTCGGGCGTTTGTGTGATGTGCCTCAAAATGAATGAATCTCATGGCGGCCTCTTCCTGAATGCAGAATGAAGTATCTCAGAAGCTCCGGAAGAAGATTTTCCATATTTTGGGGCTATCTGGGTTTGTCCACAATCTATTTAGTGTTTCTTGGGTTCTCATATTCAAGGTGATGGAGGAAGAAAGTTTATGAAGAGGTGCCATTGTTGCCAGGTTTTGTGTGTTATGTTGGAACTTAGAGCTAGAATTTTTAAAGACTAGTATACACGTCCTCAATTTCTGTGTAAGGAATTGACTAGTTTGGCCTCAATTGGGCACATAATTGTTTTAGAGGCATTATCCATTCTATAAAGGAATTGGGAGACTCTTTCATATTGGTTTTTGTGTTTGTTATGGTTTCTCTTTCTCCTTTTCTAAGAGGTCTTAGAGGATATTTTTATATCATTACCTTTTTTGATCTTAAATAACTATTAAAAAACGATAAAACAATTATATGAAGTTAAACTTGACTGGATTTTGCTTAAACTCTTTTCAATCTTACCCGACGAAGCTGTTCTCCAATTTACTCCTGAACAAGAAGAAAAAATTGAAGTTCGCTGTGTGCTCTGCAGAGCCTATCACACATGTCGAGTATTCATAAAATATCCTAAAAAAAGAGTATGTTATGACTGAATTTAGGTGAGCAATTAACCAGCCTACTTAAATTGCCCCAAATAGACAGAAAAGAAAATTTTAGTCACAACTTGGAAGAAAAAGACACATTTAAATTACTGTTTTTATTTAGTAAGTATGTAAATTTTGTTAGGGTTATAGTGAGATGGTGGTAAGAAATGACATGAAAGATCTTCTCTTCTTGTATGTGCTATGCCTGTAGGCAAGGCGAGTGGAAGACTGGCCATTTAAAGTTTAAAACACATCATTTTTTGCATTCAACCATTTACTACTTTCTAGTGGAAGAAAAAGAAATTAAACAGTTAGAACTCCATTATATTAGCATAATTTCTTACTTGTCTAAACTTTTGAATCATCTTCTTGTGCAATATGTTAGCTTAAGGGCCATTATCTAATAAAAGTTACAAAAAATGCTCCAATTGGTGATATCCCATTGTTGTATGCATCAGATTCACTGTCGTTGGTGCTTGGAAACGAAAACTGAAAGCTCATCTACTATAGATATCAAAGTGGGTAAGTTTTGGCTGTTCTTACATCTATTTAACTCTTCCCCATGAATGAGCATGCTTATTGCTGTTAGTTTTTCTTCTAAGCAAACTGTAGCAAAATGGTCTAAATGAGTCATAAAATTAACTAAAGTCAATTGGCAATCTAATTATTAGTAAGTGAAGTAATTGTGTACAACACAGAAGCATGATAATAACAGAATTCCCATGTTGTTTTTTACACTGTAGGTTATGTTTTATTGCTTATGGTGCACTTGATCAAGTTTAATTGTGCATCTTTTAGTGTAGCATGTCCATATTGCAGACTGCCATTTGCCATCATTAAATTCCAGTATCAAGTGCTAATCATGCAATGCTTTATGTTGTTGTGTAATTTGACATTTTGGCTTCTGGACGAAATGGTGTTGAATTTTCTCCTTGGTTTACCCCACTGATTTTTTTGGATTCAAATCTAGATATATTAGTTTTAAGGTGCAAATACATGTGTAATATGCTCTGATATGTGGATCCAGAGGCATCATTGAAAACATACACCCCACCTCGTGCCAGAAGAGTAGATTATTTCTAATGGCATCTTGTTATTCAATTATCTTATTCAAAGTTCTGACCAGCTCCCTGCTTTTGCAAGGTTTCCAAATGTCTTGAATCCACTTTTTAGGTTTGCAAGTTTTGAATTGTTTGGTGGTGTCTTCTTGAATTTGGTGTTTCTTGGATGTTCCGATTTGGTGGCTGGGTAATTTTCTTTGAGTGAATTAGATGACTTACTTGTTTCCATGATAAATACCGCAAATATGATAGTCTGATATTTGGTGAAAAGATCAATTCACCATGTTGAAGTGTATGATAGAAGAATCTGTTTTTATGATAAAATCTGGATCATGCTCTTGAAGATGCAAAGCCTAAAAGGATAGAAAATAGAAACAGAGTAGCTACCCATCCGAGGAAGTCCTTAGCACAATGGGGATCTTCACTTAATCTCCTTTCCAAACCATATTTAATGTCAAGCTCAAGTTAGAGAATCTATTATTGCTAAGCACTTGTGCTTGAAGATGAGCCTTTACATCTTGAGAATGGGTTAGGACGGTAATCTTCGTGCCCATATTGATTCTCTAAATCAGCTGGACAATATAGTGGGGAACACTGGAAAGATGTGCAACGGGGATGGTTGTTGGCTTCGTAACCTAGTCAAATTGATACTTCAATTGGTGGTAACAATGTATTGGTTAAACAAACAAAATTAATAATTGATGATGCGGCCTTTAGTTTGAAGAAAATGAGGACATAATGGGAAATGAGTGTTTGTGTTGGAGAGCATGCATTGGCGATGAAAAATTTGCATCAAGAAAGAAACCATTTGTGAGAAGTACAGTTCACATGAAAATCTTGTTTGAGAAATACAAGTAACATTGAGTGTTACTACTTGGGGGAGAGGTGAAATTCAGATATATATTCTATTTAGAAAAGACTTGAGAGAACAATAGAGGAAAGACGACAAATAATGATGGGGACAACTGTCTCAACTTTGTTTGTGCTATTGATTAAACTGTTTATGGCAAAGACTAATGAAACAAAGTGACTGTGGCTGGGTGATGGATTTTGTTGCCTCCGTGTTTTAAAAGATAGATTTTGTCTTGATACTTGCACATAGGTGTAGACCTTGGCCTCAATATTTTGGAAATAGGGAGAAAATTGAAGATTGATGGTGTTGGGAATCTTGGAATAGTATGAAGATCCAGAATGTAGTATCAAGAAATTTTCCAGTGTTAGATATTTCTTTATATTAATATTATACTTCAGGTGAACTCTATTCTTGTGGATGTAAATGATAGTGATCGGTGCAAAGTGTTGAGGAGGCAAGTTGATTTTACAAGGGAAAAAGAACTAACAAAGCATTTGCAATTTAGTGGATCTATCGGTGGGTCATGTAATTTCCTCGGCAATTACAAGGAGTTGAAGGGAAGATTTCCCAGATGGCCTCAGACGTATCCAATTAACTGTACATTTAAGCTGTTGGGACTCCATGGCATGTCTTATAACATAGTAACAATAAAGATCTTGGATTCATGGCTCAACCATTGTTCGATAAATGGGAGCTTTGGAATTAGAAGCTCTGAAAGCGAACATCATCTGAAACTAATACAAAAACTGTGATCACTGGATATGGAACTTCGAGATAGTGGGTTTGGTTTCTGGCAGGTCTGTTGTAAATCTGCATCGAGAAAGGAAAAAAGGTTTTGGAATTTGGGACTAAGGTTTTGGTCAGGTTAGCCTCCAATATCATGTTAACATAATAGATGTAAATGTGATCACAATGGATTTTAATTCCTCAAATATCCTAGTGTACAGTACCTTTTTTCGGTACAGGAGCCCAATATATGCCAACTGAGCTTGAAGCTCTTAAATTAGTGAGTTATCTTGAGAATTGACTTACCAATATAGGACTATTAGATTAGTAAAATATTAGACTAGGAAATGTACAATCACTCTGGTTTGCTCTATGAGCTTTAAACCGAAGACTCTTTCAAAAAAGGAAGAAAAAAACCTCAAGTTTCTGATTGTCTATCTCGAGAATAGGCTAGCCAATGCAAGATTGTTAGGTAAGTAAAATGTTAGACTCAGGAATGCAGAATCACTATGATTCTCTGAATAGTGTTTAAACCAGAGAATGTTACAAAACCAAGAAAAAAACCTCTAGTTGCATGTTATCCACGATAAGAAGAAAAACTGTTTTATGAATTGGGATTTGGTCTCCACATGTTCTGTGCACAGATGGTTTCTAGTTTAAATCACAGAAAACCACATTTTCTGTGGCAAATTTCATTTTAATTGTAAATTGAAGGATGTGTTTTTGGATATTCTCCAGGTGCACATTTTAAGAAATGGTGTGTGATGCAGTCCAAAATAAAGGCAGGAGCTATCAACGAGGTTTGTATCTTTGCTTCCGGTAATGGAATAAAAACCGAACTAAAATGACATTATGTTTCTAATTATTTTTCGATATGATGGTTTCTCTTAATAGTACAAGAAAGAGGTGGATGTAATGTTAGAAACAGCACGTTCATACATCAAGTCACATTTTTCTGTTGACGAGACCAACAAACCCTCCTCCTCCTCCTCCTCCTCTGTAACCCAAGAGGTAACTAGCTAAATACTTTACAGGCTGCCGGTCATGACATGGTTTCTTCAATGTTGTGATGTTACTTGTATCATTCCATGTGCTTAATTTTCTCTACTTTGATGACATTTATTTATACGGAGAGCCTCTTTAAGGTTTAATAGTGAACGGCAATAGGCGCTTAATGTGAAAACCGCACCCTGTCTCGTTAGAAGAGAAGTAGTGGTGTGTGTTGGTTCTTGTAATTCTTTTCTGTAATGGAAAATCTCAGCATATATTCGGAACACTGCGTAATCAAAACCTTCTATAGAGAAACGATCTTGTTTAATGTCGGTTTTCATGTAAATAAAAGGACGAGCTCATTTTCTTTATATCAAATGTTATTACATTTGATGAGCAGCAATTTGTGTTCTTTTCCTGTTAGGAGGGTAAATTATCTAGAATTGATGAATTATTTTTGTGCAACTTTTTTGGAAATCTTAGTTTTATGGAGTTTATAAAAGTTTCAAATCATAATGATTCATTTTCAAATTCTATAAAAAAAATAATAATAATAAGATGAAATTTGAAGAACGTCAGGGTTTTCACCCAATTATAATTGTTGGTAGCAAAATAATATAATTTCTTAATACTGTTATAATCGAATATTAGTTACTGGGTAATATTCAAATTTTATTTACAATTACCATACAGAGATCTACCATAATTTCTAAAAATACACAAATATAATCTATGTATACTTACACTACACAGATTCAAACCTATAATCTTTCTATACAATAATTACATGAAAATCTCCATTATAATATCTCCTAACTGATGTTTTAAGGCCAGTTTATGCTTGTGCAAGTTAATAATTTGGAGAAATGTTCCTTAAGAAATTAATATCAATTTAAATTAAATCATAATTATATAAGATTATATAATCAATTATCAATGTATGGAGAACATCATAGATCAAACTACCTTTCAATCAATAAATGAGGTATGTAGTAACTCAAAATTTTGTACCACTTTGAGTTAGAAGTGTGCATCTTTTGATTCGGTAAAAGACCGAAGAATCGGTTTATTTTAATTTAATTATACCGTCAATTGAAATAATCTAGTTTGAATTGAAAATTTAGAAATAAATTATAATTTTTAATTCTGATTTAATTTTCTATTCGTTTCGATTTGTTTTTAATCCGAACCCTTATTTTAATTACTCTCGTTATTTTAATCTGCTTCAGTTCGATTTAATTTAGTTTTAAATAAACTCGAGCCACTTTTTAGTTTGATTAAAAAAAAAAAAGAAATTAAGGGGAGTTTAATTGTCTGAAATGCCCCTTCCTACGTCAACTTACATCCTGTTGGGACAAACGCAGCGAAAAATCCCATTCCAGTTGCAAACGACATCGTTTTCAAGAAGTACGTAGGCGCCTCCCTCCATCACCGTTCCATTTCGATTCTAATAGTTCGCAGACTTCCACTTTCCATCTTACTCTGATCTGCGAGACAGAAACAATCCAGAGATAGTTAAACATGGGGGACAGACGCGTCTATGGTCTGATATTGTTTGTAGGTATTCTATTTCCAATTGTACTGAGTGATAAAGAGCAACTGAGCTCAAGGGAATGTGAGGATCTAGGGTTTACAGGCCTTGCTCTTTGTTCTGATTGCAACACTTTGGCTGAGTACGTCAAGGATAAAGGTTATTCTGTTTTCCCCGTTATAACTCTTTTATTTTCAATTAATTCCGGGAAATACCCTGTTTTGATTGGTCAGTTTATGGAATTTTGTTGTGTTATCTGTCCTTTTCTTAATTGTTCGTCTTTTTTTTTTTTTAATTGTTCTGGATTTTGAATGTTAAGGTGCCCTTTGTGTTTGGTGATTTTAATTAATGCTGATAACTCTTATGATACCTTCTCTTTTCCAACGTGATCTTTCTGTTGAATTCTGTGTTTATATCAGATATATTTTGTTCAATTTTGTGGCTTTTACCTGACACTTCGAGGTTCTGATCAATTTGGATTTGGAAAGCAATAGAAAATTAATGATGCTTCTTTCTTGTGTCAGTACTAGGTTAGAAAGAATTAAGTGGTTGTTGATCGAAGAAATTTATGTTTTGCCATTACACATTTGACGTATATGTTAAGATCTTTTGCTTCTTGATGTGCATATTCATCATTGTGATTACCAGCATTTGTATAGCCAAAAGTGTCAACTATGAGTGATATGGTTGCAGAGTTAGTATCTGATTGCTTGAAGTGTTGCACTGAGGACTCTGACGATTCTACAAGCAAGGTATAGATCATATTGTTAGAGCTCTTGAACTTAGATTAGTTACTTTAAATTCTCCTCCTAAATTCAATGATTAATATTTACATTACTTGGTCTATTTTCTAGTTTGTGGATCCCTTTCTTGTTTCTTGTATTTTCCTTGGCTGTCCTAGAAATATGTTAGGAGAAGCCTCGTTGTTGGTAACATGTTTTGATTAAACAAGTACTAACGTGGATTAGGCAATAATAAATTTAAATTGTGCTTTCATAATGAAACTGGATATGCCTGAACCAACATCTTGATCCAATTACTATATTAAATTCCATATTGATGTGCAGAACTGCTTTTTGGCCCTGCACCTCTATCACCATTTTACTTTTCCTTTCAACAATCACTTGTTAATGATGTTTGCAACAATTATGATGCCCCAACTACAGTAATTGCAGGATTTAATTTCCAAGGGAGGCAAAACTTATGTTTTGTATATTTTTTTATTAAAAATAACTAGCATTTTTTATTGATTTGTTTCACCTTTTCTTTCCATATGAAATCCAAACTCCGGGCAGGGCTAATCATTTTTTGAAACTTCTTTTTTGTATACAAAAGAAGAAACATTATTGAGGTAAAGAAGATACAGAGAATTAGGTATCCTCACAAAGCAAATTAAAGGAACTAAAAGAAAGAAAAGAGAGAAGGAATAGCTAGATCGTAATAATCAACAAATCGTCATTCAGAATTGATAAAGAAATGTCGTTAAAACATCTTCTGGCCTTAGCCCCAACAGATGCCAGAAGACAAACTTTATCCCACAATATCATAAAAGGTTCAATATAATTTTGAAAAATTCTGGCATACCTCTCCAGCCAAATTACTAACAAACCCAAAAAGAATTCCCCACTTCAAAAAAGCTTGACCTCTGTCTTCATCATTGGTCCCATTAGAACAAAAGAAAGGAAGGACTTGTTCTGTGGGCAAACCTAGTAAAAGCCAAAGATACCAAAAATATGGTTCCACATTCTCTCAGCCCCGTTATGTTGCAAGAACAGGTGGTAATGATTCTTGGTATCTCTATGGCATGTCACACAAACCCATGGAGACAAGGAGCCAGAACCTTCCAAAGGTTTTGCTGAGGTGAAAATTCTGAGTGACAAGGTTATGTATCGAGATATGAAAATAAGACTGATAAATAAAAACTTGAGGTACTTCTTTTTCTATTAAAAGAATAAAAACTTGAGGATTCCAAAGCAGACTCTGCTACATTATTTATTAGAATTATTCACTGTATCTAGAAATTGAAGAATATTAGTCATGTTCACTGCTTCCTATCATTGAGGTTTCTGCAAAAGAAAAAAGAGAAATTCCAAGGATTGGTACCACTAGGGAGGACCCAAAAGATGAATCAGAGGATTGTAGTGTCTGAGGAAACGAAAAGCAAGGGAAATATTATAATTCCAAGGGTCCTCCTAGAATAGAAAACAAGAACCACCCCCTTCCCTCAAATGAATGAAGGGTGAAAAAGAAACAACTAGAAATGGCCTTCGAAGGGCTCTTAAAATTATATGAAACATTTGCTTTGGACTCCCATCCATTCTATTGAACACCACTAGACTTGCTCATCTTAACCCTGTGCCAAAGAGATTGCTTTGGAAATATATTCTGTACCTTATTTTTTGGTGCACTACTTGTCACCATTAAATATTTAACCAAATTAGCGAGTCTTCTTTCATTTATGGTTGTATCCAGGGAAAAAAAAGAAGAAAGTAATTATGTATTTAAACATGTGAAACTGCAGATTACCTATTCTGGTGCAGTACTGGAGGTCTGCATGAGGAAGCTGGTTTTCTATCCTGAAATAGTAGGCTTCATCGAAGAAGAGAAGGATCAGTTCCCTACAGTTAAAGTTCAATATGTCTTCAACTCACCACCAAAATTGATCATGCTGGATGAAGCGGGGCAGCAGAAGGAAACAGTCAGGTGAGATGCTTTCTGCAAGCTAATGGTGCTATGCAACTCTTACTGACATGACATTTCCTGGCATAAAGATAAGTTTAGATTGGGAGACTGGTTTGACCTGATTATAGTGCTCTTACGTACTTATCATCTTTTTATTTTTTTCATACTTTGAAACATGCATGTATGCAGGTATGATCCTTTGCATAGAAGGATGTTGGAGGGGGATAGGGTTATGGATAGAAATAGAACAAATTTACAAAAGAAAAACCACTTTTCTGAATTAGGACCAATTTATGGACTTCTCCAGGTTCCCAGTCCATTCAAATTATGGTCGCCTAGAGTTCCTTAGTACATTAGCAAACAATGAAAGCTTATCCATTTCATCCTAAACAAGTTAAATTTACCGTAATGCTTAAAGCCGTTTATAGGCACCTAACACAAGGATCCAAGCACAAATAGATGTTCTGCTGCAATCACGTGATACCTCATAACTTCTATAGCCCATCAGCTGTCTTTATTTGAACTTATTCCTTGCCATGATGCCTTTTTAACATCAAATTTAGTTGCATCTCCCACTGTAATTCTCTATTGAACTATAAAGGTCTACCAAAAACTGAAATTGAATGTCAAATTTTTTTTTTTTTGGGCAGAATCGATAACTGGAAACGGGAACATGTGTTGCAATTCCTACGAGAGAAGGTCAAACCTGTTTCAGCAAGTTGATGTATTGGTCTGCTTTTAATTTCTGGCTCTGGAATTGTACCATGAATGATTAATTGGTAACCTTAAATGGAGAAGAGAAACAAAATTCCAACATAATGAAGTATACAGTAAAGTTGATTTCCTATTCATTTTGGTTTTAATATGCAGTGAAGCTGATTATGAACTAATGATCATCGTTTCAACATTTATTGCCAAATATCTTTGTTGATTTTGCACAATGTGATCTTTGGTTGGGGTAAATTATGAGTTTTTGATTAAAACACATCTTCTCCATGAATTTCTTTTGTAGATTTATCCTCTTGCAAATAAGCTACTTGATTCTCAAATTCATTGACAATGGCCTCTTTTTGCAAATCTAAATCTGTACTTGTGAACAGGGCTGGCGTTGACCCAAGTTCAAGGACAAAAAAGATATGATCCACAAAATTTTTGAAATGCATTAATTTATTAGTTATGTATTTCACCAAGATATATAATATATAGTATATAGTATTATATATTTTTTAAAAACCCATCTCAAATAAAATTCAACCTAAACTTTAAACCCAATTGTGAGGGAGAAATTCCCAGCTTACAACAAGTATATTATATAACTTTTCAAAGTGCAGGTATGTGAGCATAACTTATAGAGCTCACATTCATATGCTATAAACCTCCAAGGGCAGGCAGGTTAAGGTATAAAATTATAAACCCATTAAATTCCCCTCCACATATTTCTCTAGACTTAATACAGAGACGCCATAATACTGCTCATATTCATAAATATACATTCCGCAATATCAGGATAAAATACAGTATCATCCCGCGTACTAGTATATAAGCTTCAATCACACCACTAGTTCAAAACTTTTGTGGCATCAGATTTCGATTTGGATACACAACAACAAATAACCACTTTGGTGCTAGCGTGATTCGAGCTCATTTGTCTCCATTAATTTCTGTTACAAAGTTGACGGTGTCTAACGAGAAGTTGTTGCACATTAAATAAAAAGTCGAAAAGTTGGTTACCCTTTACACCACTGGCCTATTTAGAACTATACGTAGGAGTATGTCAATTGAATTGTGAAACAGGCTTCTCGAACCTGGGAGAAGTACTTGTCTTGATGGGGGCCCAAATATCTGCCCCATTGCTCCGAGCAACTCCCACAGTACAAGAGATCGGAACAAGACACAACCCTCTGCTTCGCAGGCTGTATTGCTCCAACTCCTGGAACATCAAATATACCAAACCAAATGGCCCCTTGAAGTCAAGGAACATGAATTCTTTGGGCATCTAAGGATGCCTTCCAAGAGAGATTGCCCTTAAGAAAATGTAAACTTAAAATTTTCTTTTCCCCAAATCATATCCTAATTATACCATAAGCATATGTAAAACAGCTCATGCTCACCTGCATCTTAGCTGCAGACAAGCTTTGGAGATACGGAGCACTCAACACCTGAAACCACCAAAAACAGTAAAGTTACAAGAAAAAATGAAAATTGTCAGTGTCACCTAGGCGTCCAAACAAAACAGCCAGCAGAAAACATCCCAAAAGGTGGTACGAACATAAGTCCATGACATTCAAATCATTAATAACATATAATTCCATTTCTGAAAGTGACAAGCATAACTTGGTAAAGATTTGTGAGTCTCAGGAGTGTTTTTTTTTTATAATCTGCAATAAAAAATGAAATAACATGACCCAATAAGGTGATCATAGCATCTAATCAGCAAGAACATGCATTTGAAGTATTTAGTTCAGTTAAATAAGCAAGCAGCATAAAAGGACATTGAGAATAAGAATTAGAGACCAAACCTTAACTTGTTCATGAAGGAACTGTATGTATTCCATTGCCTCTAAAAGAACAGAGGCTGTATCCGTCTGCAATGAAATTATATAGGCTTTTTAGAATCATATAATCAGGGATGAGAAAAGAAAAAAAAACATGAGCATGACTTGATAAAATAACAATTGGTCTAGGCCACCATCAAAAAATAGTATGGTAAAAATTTTGACATTCAAATCTTCATGTCAGTGCTCTTTGCTCACTAAAACTAACTCTTCTTCGTTTAATTTTTACGCACCTTCCCATAAGGTGAAACAAGCTTTTGCAAAGCTACAATTCGTTCCCCGACCTTCTCTTTCTTTTCCTGTTCAATTAAGCAACAGACACATTAAAACACATGGGATAACCAAGAAATTTAGTCCTCATACAGCTGAAAGTGATTTTACGAAGGCCATTTAACTACTGTTAGTTCAAACAACTAGCATTAACAATTCATTTTCACTTGTGCATCTTCACTTTCAAAACCAACCAACAAACCACTAAACCCCAAAAAAGTTTTATTTTATCAACGTAAAATCCCCCATTTCTTCAAAAGGAAAAACTACAGTTGTTCCAAGCAGAATCACCCAATGCCCATAAAAATACTTATGCAGAGGAATACAGAAAACTCTGAATTGAAAACATGAAGGATGAAGTGAAGGAAGAAATAACCTTATTTGAGAAAGATAGATCAGCCTTGTGTCGTTTGGATGCAAGAGATGTGAGGCTGCTCTGGTTAACAGAGCAAGGACTCCTCTTATTTTCCATCATCTTTTCTCACCTATGAACTCAATTTGCAGATACCATCAACCTGAATTCATGCATTGAGCAGTAAGTCAAAAAAGAAGCAGCCAAATTTCCACAGTAAAATTAGTAAAATCTCTTACATAAATATATACTTTAGAACGAAAACTCATCGAACTTCAAATTGGTAGGTATTTTTAGTATTAGTTTATTACTGTCAAACCCGTATCAATTGTTTATTGAATTTCAAAATCCCCATGATAAACAACAAAAAATAACTACTTTGTTTCAGCATGATTAGAAAAAATATATTATCCCAATGCATAAGTAAACAGAAATTATTAGTATGCAGTGCCCAAGTCACAAGAAAATCAAATATCTTTCTTTTTACCAACATCTAATTGATGGAAGTCTAGTGGAGAAATGAAGGAAAAGCAAGCAGCTATTCTCCGAAGGTTCAATAAGTACTTCCAAACTTACCAAAAGGACATATATATGCGGCGGAGAAGCATTTAACA